CAGGTCGGCAAACCAGGGCCTCTGAGGCCAGTACAGGGCCACGAGGATCACGTCTGGCTGCTCCTGGAGCAGCTTGCAGATGGTTGCCAGAATGAGCGGGAGGAGAGGGAAGGCATAAAGTAGACCTTGTGGCCATGGAATCCACAGGGCGTCTGTCCCCTCCGCCCCCCGGAAGGTAATAACGGAAGAAGTACCTGGGGAGTTGGGTATTGCTCGACGATGCAAACAGGTCGAAGACCGGATGGCTGAATCTGTGGGATATCTCGGAAAAAAGATCCAGATGTAGTGCCCATTCCGAGGGGTCTATTGTAGAGCGACTTAGAAAGTCTTCTTGCTGGTTCTTGACTCCCGAGATGTGTTCAGCTCTGAGAGGCCAGGTTGGACTCTGCCCAGGATCCTATCAGCCATGCCCTGGCCGTAAGGGACTTGGACCTGGTGCCCCACTGCCAGTTCACATGGGCCTTGGACGCCACATTGTCTGTGAGGATCAATATGTGACGGCCCCTGACCCAGTGTCAGAATTGGCGAAGAGCTAAGTGAATGTCCCTGAGTTCCAGCCAATTGATGTTGTGTCTCAAGGCTACGCGGGACCAACGGCCCTGTGCAAACTGAGACTGTAGATGGGCTCCCCAACCAAATAGGCTGGTGTCTGTCGTGATGGTGAGGCAGTCTGGCTCCTTGAAGCGTGACCCTTGGATACCGCTTGTGAAAACCACCAGCGTAAAGACCTGAGGGTGTGGACTGGGAGCCTCACCTGGCAATTGGATCTGCTGGCATTCACTCATTGAAATGGCAGGAGAAACCATTGGAAATCCCGCAAGTGGAATCTGGCCCAGGGAACTATGGCTATGCAGGAGACCATCTTCCCACAAGCTGGGAGAGTAAGACCAGTGGAACGGTGCGGTCCTTGTACACCTGCCGAGCCAGGTCCCAGATGCTGATCAACCGATCCTGCGAGAGATGGACCATGCAGTTTGTGGTGTCTATGATGGCTCCCAGGTGCAGAAGCCTGGATAAGGGAACCATCTGGCTTTTTTGGAAGTTCACCGAGAACCCGTGCTGTTGGAGGACCTGAATAGTTAGTTCCAGGTCTGATTGGGCTGCCTGGAAGGAGGACACTTGGATCAAGATGTCATCCAGGTAACACTGGACGCGTACCGGTACCTTCCGTAAGGTAAGATAAGGTAAGATCCTGGGTGGCTAGCACAGCCAGGATCTTGGTGAATACCCTAGGTGCCGAGGAGAGGCCAAACAGAAGGGCCTTGTACTGGAAGTAACGGCCCCTGTAACAGAAACTGAGGAACCGCCAGTGATCTGGATGGATGGGGATGTGGAGATACGCTTCCGTGAGGTCTATTGATGCCAGGAAGTCTCCTTATCTGATGCCTCCTAGGATGGAATGGAATGATTGCATTTTGAACTTTTTGTATGTGATGTAATAGTTCAGTCTCTTAAGGTCCGGCGGTACCGGTTCTATGGCCTGAATCTCTAGAAGATGTTGAAAGGCCTCCTGCATAAGTCCTTGATTGGCTGGATGCCGAGAAGTGGGACAGGCGATGAAGTGACCCGGTGGGTTGGCCAGAAACTCCAGGAACAGGCCAAACTGGATTGTTTGTAAGACCCAGGCGTCCATGGATGTGAGTTCCCACTGATGGAAGAAGTGGGTAAGTCTTCCCCCTATGGGGAGTGCGGTGTAAGAGTCACTTGGACCTCCTGTAGGGGTGTCCTGTCCCTCGAAATGGCCTCTTGGATTGGATCTACTTGCCTGGGCCGAAAGGCCGACCTGTCATACGGATGGTCATATGGCATGTCCTGCCTGGATGTGTATGAACATAAGGGTTGGGTGGCTGTCGAACCTGCTGCCAGCTGAAAAGACTGCCTGCGGAAATAGGGAGTGGCACGTTTGTCGGACCGTTTATTGAGATGAGCCATGACCTTCCGCTTGTCCTTGTTTCCCACAAGGTACGGAGTTAGGGCCTCCCTAAAGAGATTGTTGCCCTGATATGGGGCAGTTGCGAGACACCATTTGGCCTTGGCGTCGGTCTGCCAGTGTTTCAGCCATAGCATCCTTCTAGCTGTTATGTTGGAGGCTAGAGACCTGGAAGCAAAGGTGGCCGACTGAAGCGTCGCGTTCGCAGCATACTCAGTTGCCGCCACCATTTTGCTTAGGTCCTGGTGAGTCCGAATGTCCTCAGAAGGGACTCTGGCCTGAAGCTGATGAAGCCATAAAAGGGTGGTTCGGACAAAGAAGGACGCACAAGTTGCCGTTTTAATTGCCCATGCTGCTAATTGATGGGTCTTTCGGAAAATTTGGTCCCATTTCCTGTCTGCTTTAAGCGCCTCAGACATGTCCCCAGCGACCGCAGTCTGGGACACCAGCAGGGTCCAGGTCTCGTCCACCTTGGGGACCTCTAGGGCCTCACTTAGGTCTGTAGAGGTACTAAAAATCTTTTTATCTGTCCTGCTTACCGAAGGAAATGAGGAAGGGGAGACCCATTGCTTTTTGATCCCTTTGAGAAATATAGAAGGACAGGGAACGTGGTGCTGGGCTGCCACCGTTTCAAAGAATATCGGATTTGGACTGGAATCCGGTGTGGCCTGCGTCTGAGGGTCTGAGGGAACTTATTTGACTCAATGTTTGCCATTGAGGTGGCCTTGTGAAGCAAGGGGAGAAACAGGGCTGGATTGAATAGACCTCCAGATGGGGAGGGTTCAGGGGGAGTTCCTCATCCTCTGATAGATTGAAGTCCGGCTGATCCTCACCCTGCGGAGATTAGTATCCACTCATTGAGGAGTGTGCAGGAGATGTGGGCTCCTGAAATATCCCAGTATGGGGGACATAAGGTGGCATAGCTGATGTGGAAGCCCCCTATCCAGGTGGAAAGAAGGACTGTTCTGCTAGAACGCAGTCCACAACCTTGGATTACAGGGCCTCAAGTCGGCCGTCGGAGAAAATGTCTCCGAGGTCTGGACCCAAGCCCTGCTGCAGTTGGTGTGAAGCTGAACCTGAGGGAAGGGGCGGTAGACTGGTTGCTGTGTGCTAAACTAGTGCAGAAGGGGGACAATGTGTGGCAGGGGTTTCTGTCAGGGACCACACACCCTGTGCTGAGGTTGAAGGGCCTAAAGGTAGGTCAAACTCAGGGGCCTCCATTTGATCCGTCTCTAATCCTGCCTGTCTCTGCACTCTGGAGAACTCCTTCTCCAGAGCCTGGTGCCTACGGCTGGCTTGCTTTTCTGCCAACTTGGAAGGCTTCTTGAGAGTGGCCTTAGCCTTGTTTTTGAGCTTGCCTGCTACCTCCTGTTTAGAGATAACTGGATGACCGGGAGGCAGTGCTCATGGGTTGAGGCACCATGGAGTCCTCCATTCTGGGTTGAGCTGTCCCATGGAAACTGAGGCGGAGCTCTGGCAGGCAAGCAGTTGGCAGAAGCGAAATTGGAGCAAGTATGAGGACTGCTCCCCTGACTACCTGACCGGAAAATCAAATCTATCTGGGCTTGGTCACAGCAATTGAGGCTGATGCCGAAGGCACAGTTGGGAACCCGCTATGGGCTCCGCCTGGAGGCCTTAGGTGGCCAGTCAAGGTGCACCAGATAGCCCAATGAAGGGCACAGAGGGCCTGAGGTAAGGCCTGGCAAGGAAAGAATGAGGACAAAGGTGGTTGAGCAATTTGGCGTGGTCTGTATGTTAGCAAATGATATAGAACAAACGCTCCTCCAATGCAGCCTAGGCCTGTATGACTATAAGGCCCTGGCTTGATAAGGCCTAAAGAAGCGACCACATGGCAATCAAAATGGTGGCCAACTGAGTTGGAAGAGATAATTAGAACTCCTAGGGCTGCGTGTCCTAAGCAGGGACTGAAGTCCTGAAGGAATGGGGTGATTGAGCCACAGGAGTAAGAAAAAATGACTAGATCATGCAAAAGGAACCATTTGATTCTTCATTACCTTAGACAGCAACAAAATAGCGGCTGCAACTCTTTTTGCCGTCAAAAAAGGGGGTGTACCAACGCAAGGGAAGTTTTGGCGATGCTGGGCTAGCCGTGGCCACAACGCTAAGCGCTATGCCGGGGAATAGCTCCAAAAATTGGCCTCCGATCGAAGAGCGATAAATGGAGCCCTGGAATCAGTTTTTTAAAAACTTTGTTGCCTGAAATGGCAACCAAAATGGCGCCCATGGCTTGTAAATGGCTCCGGAGGCCTGGGAATTAAAATTGTGCAGACCAACGTGGGAGCACTGAATGCAACTCCCCAGGTCCTGAGAGGGGAAGTGAAGATCGTTCTTAAAGTAGCTCTGTGAGTTACCCAAGAAATATTTTTCCCCAGAGCCCTGGGGAAAACAAAACGAATAAAAAGCAGTTGCCTCCCCCTCCCACAGTTCAAATCCTGCTATTTGAGGCAGCGCTGAGCCCAGCGCTGCAGGGGAAACAGTAGGGAAGGATTCCCAGGCTGCAGTAAATTATCAAAATTATTGAGGGATATTGTTAATAAGGGAGAATTCCCCAATAGGTCTCTACCTGCTAATCTGCTGAGAGAGCCAACCCTGATACCTCTTCAAGAGCTTGTGACCAAGTCAAGACTGAATCTCCTAGCAACAGGGGATGTCTCAAGTTTGGCTATTTGGTCTCAAGGGCAGGCAGACAGAGAAAACCCATTGGTGGATTCTCCATCTCCTGTACTGGAAAAACTTTATTTTTATATTTACTTTGATTACATAAGCCAGTGGTTCTCAATCTTTTTAATGCTGTGACCCAGAACTGGTCGTAAGTCGAGGAGTACTCAACCAGTCGTAAGTCGAGGACTACTCAACTGGTGCAGCACCGTTGGCAGAATGGGACTTTTGGCGGGCTCAGCAGGGCAGAGACAGCCTGGACAATTCCTATTGGCTTTTGAAAGCCAATAGAATTAGACTCTATTCAAGAGAGTCTATTCTATTGGCTTTCAAAAGCCAATAGAATAAAAGGGAGTAGCACAGCTAAGGAAAAGGGGAAAAAAATGGCGGACTGCGTTGTTTGGCGACCCCCGTGAAATGGTCGTTCGACCCCAAATGGGGTCCCGACCCATAGGTTGAGAACCACTGACATAAGCAATTCACCCAGCAAAGCTGACACACACAAGGTAAAGACTTCGCCCTTTAAAGCTGGCACAGTATAGATAAGAAGGAAGAAAGCAGAAGTAGCTAGTATGTTCCCTTTTGGGTGTTTCCCCCAAGACATACCAGCTGTCCTCTGATGGGTTAGAATATTGGGTGCTTTCATGGGCCTGCAAGTGGCCAGAGAGTACGGGCCATCTGCACGTATTCACAAATGATACTGTCCCCTAAGTCCTGGTCATCAGGGCCATCTAATACAGACTGAGAACTATATTTGTTTTAAAAACTGCTGACCTTCTGGGATTATAAATATTTAGTGAGCTGTGATCTTTAAGCTCGAGAATTGTCTGCAGAAAAAAAAACTTTGATTGTTGGCTAATCTTCTAGGGGGAAATTTTACTGGATAGTCAAACATTCAGGACTGCAATTTTGGCTGGTAGATAAATTGTAAGATCTCTGAACTATTATAAAATACTGCTTTCAGTGGTTCTTTGATAATTGGAAACACACTGGATTATAAAAAACTATATATAAAGATAACTATATAAGATTTTGTTGTTTGGACTTTAGGACTATGGTACTGGTGAAAGAACATCTGGAAGGGGGAGATAAAATAGATAGTGCATACCTATCTAAAAGTGGCAGGAAACTACATCTAATATCCCCTTCTGAAGGCCTCAGCCGAGAACATCAGAGATCTGTAGGAGCAACACTTCAAGACAAGGCAAATACTTTCCAGGAGGAAATGTATGCAATGCTGCAACAGATTCAATTGACAATAATTTCAAATCATGAGATTAAAAACAACTTTGATGGCATAAATGAGCACATTTCCAATTTAAACATACAAGTAAAAAATTTTCAGAAAATTATGATAAAGAATGAACTAACAAACCAGATAATAGAATACAAATCAGAGGACAATGACCCAAAGAGGGAAGCTATAGAGGAAGAGAACTACAAATTAATACAAACAAAAGAAAACTTGCAAGCTTTTGCCACAACAATGGAAACGGAAAATATATTCTATTTTTCAGGACCTCAAATCAACTTGAAGATTGGAAAGAAGATCTAATAAAATGGACTATAGAGCAACCAGGACAATCATTAAAGTTTGGGAGAGAAAAAAAATACATGTCTTATCTAACTTTTTTTTTTCTATTACCAACAAAATTTACAAAAATACAGGAAAAACACCTGGATAAGTCCAACACACTAACTTGGAAAGCTACCTGCAAAGAAGGCTAGAATCAGATATGAATGATTTGATGTGACTTACCAGATGGAGTACTATATGATGAAACTTCTGTTTGAATACGGTTAAAAGAATAGATAAATTATGGATATGAAGGAGCCTCACAGTAAGATAAGATATATAAGTAGTACAGCAATTTCTATAATATATGAAATGTAAAAATATTGGGGTGGTGCACATGAACAAAAAGTTTGGATATTTAAAGGTTATTAACTTTGAGAAAATTATGACTGATAAGAATGGTTTGAATACAGAGGGGAAATTAAGCTTAAATAAAATCTTGAAAACAGGACATATAGTGACCTAACAAGATGACTTTTATAAACATAATTGAAATATAAACTGATAAGAAAAAATGCTATATGCTGTTACTGTTATTTGTATAAAGAAAAAGATTTATAAAGAAAAAGATTTATATTTAACTTTATATGTACTGAATTTTAAGAATAATATTTGCTTAATCTTGACAAAAGGAGAATACTATTGGATGAAGAGAAGATCAAAGAAATATATCATTGATTAATATGTTGATTATGGAATTATAGAAATTAATTTTATTGTTTTTTAAACATATGAATCCAGACAACATGCTGTTTACTAAGCACTAAATAAGGTTATTGTAAAAAATTAATTAAAAAAAGAAGATGAAGAAAACAAACAAACTGGTACAATATGCCATATTGGGACACTCAGTGCAATGGAAAGAAAGGAGGGAGGGTGCCAGTGGGATGGGGGATGGAGAAATATTGGCAGCAGCTCAGACAAAAAAGGACAGGAGTTGGTGAGAGGTATATGATAAACGGGTACATGCAGAGATGAAAGGAGGTGATTTGCACAAATATTAGACCCATCTGGATTTTGTTTTGTCCAAAGCTTTGAATAATCCAGGTTTTGGCTTTGCCAAGTCACACCTGATCTGAAATTATTCAGATGAACCTCCAGGTTCAAAATAAAACATTTTCCTTGTGGTCTGCCTAGCCCAAAGCTTAATTTATTGCCAGTTTGCTTTCTTGCAATTTTTAGACAGAAATTAGAAACAACCAACAATTCTATGTCAAAATAACTGCATTTAAATGCATTTTTATAATTAACAGTAATGCAAATCTCCCCATCTCTTCTTACTCTGCTCTGTGAATGATGGTCCAAAAACTATGCAATACTGGATTAAAGAAAAAAAAGATTGCAATAAGTCTGTACAGTAATAGGGATCTGCAAAATCTCCTGCATAATGTATTCATGCAATGAATAGTCCATTTTAGATTCTCTGTTGGTGAGCTGAAACATTTACTTCAGATGTTTTTTGCAGACAGAATTCAGAGGACTGGTTGAATTTGAATACAGTCCAAAATGTTATAGTCTACAATATTTTCTTCTGTTCTAGCTGTATAGTTAGATGTAGTGCTATCTTTTGCACTTGGGTATTATATTTTGAATGCTTCAGTTTTGACCAACAGGCAGTAGGGAATAGTTTTGTCTATATCCTGTTTTAAGTTGGATGCTCGGATGATCTGGCTGGAGCTTTGGAGAAAAACAGCAGGCATTACAGAGTGCATGGCACTGCAAGGGGGTCATTCTGGATTTAACCATCCTTAAATAGTTGATGACTAAAGAGTGATCTACAGAAGAAATTCCTTACAAGGAATCTTGACTAAACTAGACTGGGGTTTTTCTTCAAAGGGATGATGCTCTGGCCAGCAGCAGACCAAACAGCCCAGGCTGAAGACAAAATGGACTGTTTTTCCTATCATATTTTGCCTTGGCTCTCCAGAATATATGTTACTGCTGTTTCTTGTAAAGATTCTTGCATGAAAATTGGACTTCAAGTTGGTGAATTAATATTCTGTGGTTTTCAAATGAGAAGCTGATATAATGTTGAAATTATATTAAAGGTGTGTGTTCATGTGTTATGTACTACTGTTCACAGACAAGACCAAAAACTACAAAAAGTACCAGTACTGACTGATTGCTTTGGTTAACCTGCTACTTAGGTGATTCAATGTATATACATTCTTAGTTCCTCTTGGTACTGAGATTCTAGAGTCTTTGTATATATAAGTGCTTTCACCTTCAAAGATATTTTGGAAGCTCCACAATCAACAAAATGATATTCACACTAAACTCAAAAATCCATCATCAATGTACTGAGTTTTTGCTATTACTGTTATTATTGCTGCTGTGAACTACAGTAACCTAGGTGGGTCCTAGAGCTGGATATTCTACAAATCAGTAGAGAACAAGAGACTTATTCTGAATCACACAGTTTTCTAGAAACAGAGAATCCAAAACTATTTTGCGTTTCGTTTCACCAAATTAGGAAAAAACAACTCTCTAAATTTTGTTTAATCTGAACTACAGTTACTCTGAAATGGTGTTGACAGAACGTCTGGAACACAGTATTTTGTGTGACTCTATACAATTTTCATTTTGTGTAAATTTTATTCCTTTATAACCTGACTCATTTATTTTTGTTTTAAAAAAGTAAAAATCACCTTCTGTTTGCTGCTGAGGAATCTGAGTCTGATGAGGCAGGTTCCTATAAATAATAATTTTAAAAACTTTTAATATGCTATTATATTTGTAAACAATAAAAGCCAATGTTCTCCCTTGTTATATAATTTAGAATCCATAAAAATAAGAAAGCAGAATACTGCATTTATTTTCACTCTAATGTGGTTAACAGTAGCAATTTTCTTCTATATGCATACATACTTGGCAGAAAATAAATGTTATGTGTTAAAGGATATTAAAGATATATTTCAGAAAATAACACAATTGTAATTAATCCTCCAAATAGAAAAATGTATATGGTACAATTGTTTGCTAATTGGGATTTATAAAAATGATATTTTGAATCATTTTGGCTATTATACCTGCTTTTACAAAGAAAAAAAAGTTCAATAGTGGAGTAAACCTATGCTCTTGTGATCATTCTGCTATCCTTTGCATTTCTTTTGGTCTTTAATTTGCATATCATTTTTCATCAACATGTTATAAATACATACATAGGCCAAATAATCCTATATCTTATAAAATACAGTACTATCTAATCCCTAAAAAAATAAATTTTCCCCAATTTTTTTAGTTTTTATGATGCCAGAAGAACTCTTTGATGATTTTCAACAAACAGAAGTCATTAAATACTGTCACCTATCTCATCTAGATATTCAAGAGAAGGATCATGCTACTTGTAGGCAATAAGTAACCTTAATTTAAAAAAATATCTATAACTATCTGTTGAAGAAGACTTCTGAGAATCCAATGGATTGTCAAGAAAACACACAAATGGCTTAACAAACTATTCACCCTAACTTCTCAATCAAGGCACAAATGACTAGGCTCAAGTTATCCTACTTCAGAAACATAATGTGAAGACCCAGCATTCTGCAGAATGATCTAATGTTGCAAAGATGGAAGAAAAGAGAAGAAAAAGATGACTAGCAGCAAGATGGATGGTCTTAGTTACAGTAGCATTGAATGCACACTTGGAAATCTTGAATGACTGTGTTGGGGACAGTTCACCATGGAGAAAATCTATCTGGCTCCTAGGAATCTATACCGACTTGATGACACCTAATCAACAAATCATCTAGGCTTATTAACTTATAGTTTTAAGATTTTTTTTTTTGCTTCTGGACCTATTACCTTGACATTGCTAAAAAAAAATCACTAGATGGAATTTAGTATCACAAAATGGTACACATTTATATTTAATATTACCCTATTGCGTCTCAATTACCCTACTGCATCTCAATAAACCTAGCCTTTAGATCTATAAATGCAAAAAATGACTTACTTAAGCTGGTTCTTATTATATGAAGTACACAATTAGCAATTCTGAATATATAATTCAAGGTCCTAAAATATATAAACCTTTGGAGCAACTTATGCTTAATATGCTACATATAAAATGTTTATGACCATAATTAAAGCTTCTCTTCCCAGAATATCTTTCCACTGAATCATATCTCATTTTCCATTTTGTGCTCATTTTGATTACTGTTCTCCATTACAAACATGCATAACTGTTGTGCAGCGGTGGTGGTGGTGCTACCTCAAATCAAGTCAAAGAATAAATCACTCTTGTTTTAAAACAAGAGCCGAGGTGGTGCAGCAGTTAGAGTGCAGTACTGCAGGCCACTTTAGCTGACTGTGTTCAGCAGTCAGTGGTTCAAATCTCACCGGCTCAAGGTTGACTCAGCCTTCCATCCTTCCGAGGTAGGTGAAATGAGGACCCAGATTGTTGGTGCTTGTGTGAGGCTGCTGGGGGTGCAGGTAGTGCATTGATGCTTCCAGACAGCTGGGGAGGGTGCCTGGGATAGTTGCAGGCAAAGGCTGCTTGCGTGTGGCTATTTCTGGTGCCGGGGGACCAGCAGGGCATCGCTGCTTGTGCAGAAGCTGGGAGGTGCCTGGAGGTCCATTGGTGCTGGAGGGGCAGCCAAATAGCCCATTTGGTTTTAGGCTAGAGTCTACAGAGGCAACAGCAGTGGAGAGAGGTCAAAATGAGAAGCTCCTGCCCATTGCCCGTGGCAGCTTCCCATTTCCCCTCCTCCTTGTTGCAGTTCAGCTACCCCCCCCCCTACCGCCCCAGCACCATTCAACTACTCAGGAAGCCTCCCCAGCTGCATGCAAGCACCAATGCCCTGCCGCCGCCCCCAGACATCAGAAACAGCCATGCGCAAGCAGCTTTTGCCTGCCCCCTCCCCCAGGCACCCTCTCAGCCACGTGCAAACACCAATGCCCACCTGCCCCCCCAGCAGCCAGGCAGAAGCAGCTTTTGTCTGCCCATCCCCCGCAGATCCTGCTCTCTCTCTCCCTGTCACCAATCACAGCCCCCTCAGTCGCTCTCTGTTGCCTCTAGCCTTTGGGTGGCAGTTTCTTGTCCCAAGGAGCGAAAAACCTGGGACAAAGGGAGGGTGAGGGACTCATTGCCCAAGGAGAATGGCTGGGGGAGGGCCAGCAGAGGAGGAAAATTGGCTGTAAATGGACTGAGGGGGCTGGCCAGAGGCGAAGTGGAAGCCTAAAAATCCCATTCCGATTCACCATTTGCTTCAGCAAAGTCAGAGCAATAAGTCTCCCAGAAATGACAACAATGGCATGGCTTCTGGCCCCCACGGAGAAAGTTACCAAGCACTTTCTTAAAGGGGTAAATTAGACAATGAAATGTTGTTTAACGTCCTATTAACTGAGTAACAATATTAGATCATTTTCTTTAAAAACTGTGTAAGTTACTGTTTCAAAAACAAACAACAAAAAGTAAATTACAAGAATTTGTTTTACATACAAAGCCGAAGTTATTCTACAAGCAGTTTTCCTATCTTCTGCACAGTCTAGAAGAGCTGGGAATAAAATCCAGAATCCTCAACCAACATTCTGAGAATGTAGTTTCAACACCTGTAGGACCACAACTAGGCTGAAAACTTTGTCTTATAAAAAGTAGCATTGTGATAATAGTTTTGTAATGAAAAAGGTTAACAGATCTCTATCAAAATTCAATTAAAATGCTGTATTGATACTTACTGTTGTGTTTGCATCAGTGGCATGCTAGTATTGTCATAATTGTCTGGGTGAACAGGTGGTACAATCTCACCAGTGACTGGGTGAAAAACAGGAAGTGTTGAGAGTGGCCATGCTATCTCTCTGTTTTTTGACATCTCCCGAAGTTCTTTTGTGGATTTCTGAATTGCACTGTGATGGACCAGCTGAATACTAGGTAAAAAAGAAACATTTTTTAAAATAGACTTTGTCATAATGAGTACTGCAAAATATAATCTCAAACGAATTATTGTCAAATAATGATCTATATAAAAAAATACTGAATTATGTTTTGGGGAAAGAAATCTTACACATACACATACCCACCCACCCCCACACACAGAGGACAACCTGTGACCAATTGGGTCATGGTTGCATAGCTATTTCCTCACATAAGCAAAGAAAAAGATCAGAGGCAGGCAAAAATTCAGTGCGAACTTCCAATTTCCTATTGGCTTTTTCACTGAGCTTCCTTGTGGGAACTTGGCAGTTGACATTGGAAATCTTCGTTCCTTTCCTCTCTCCTTTCCCCCTTCCCCTCCCCATCTTTCTCTCTAGTCCTTGTTTCCTTTTCCCCTCTTTTCCTTCTCTCCATCTACTTTCTCTTCTCTGCAGGGGAAGGGACCAAGGGAGTAGGTGGCATGGTGCAAATTAAGAGGGACTGGTGGAGGATGCACCATTTCTTCACTGACTTTCTTCCTACAAGCTTCCCACAAGCAAAGAGTTTGCTAGGGAAGGTGGCAAGGAGTGCCGATAATCACACCAATTCCTTCTGGGTGTCCCCATAGACTTATGGGAAATTGTCAGGGAACAATAAAAATGTGGCTCACATGACAGCAGCTGACAGTGGAGTGTGGTAGCACTAAAGAGCAGCAACAAAGATGCAGCAACAAAATTCCTGAACTTAATTCCTTTGGGAATAATAGGTCCTTGCACTCTGTTAAGTTAGCTCATTTGAGGTAACTTTGTGGACAAAGTTTTGCCCGATGATGCAGTGTTTTGGGGGAACATTGCAAACTATCAAATAGACACTAGAGTTTTAATAGTATATAGATATATACAAACACCCACTGAGATAGTCCTCATTTAAAATGTCCAGTCATTAAATGAAACAACTACTAAGTGAAACTGTGCTTATGCTCTTACTTTAGGTTTCCTTTGTTCTATAGACCTGTGAAAGTTGCAAATGCAAGGACTGATCATAGAGTTACATTTTTCATCACTATCATAACTGTGAACAGTTGCTAAATAGGATAGTCATTAAATAAGGATAACATTATACCAAAATAATATTATTTGTTATGGTAAATAGGTAGGTAGGTAGAAATAAAGAAAGTTGGTTATATAAAACCTGCAAAATTTCATTCAGCCAATTAAATCTATTCCCAGTTCCTCACTGGGAATTAAAGATGATCTGAAGTTTACTGTATTTGAGATAACTTTTCCTACATAATACTTGCAAAGACCGGATCATAATGAAATAATAATATATAGTGTAGGGGGGATTATCCCTTTAGATTATTATGGTTAAATCTCCCTCTTCCAAAACCAACTGAAATTTGTTTCAGAGAAGAAATTTCCACTGATACCAAAGGCACCTTTCTTAGAATCAAAAGCAATATACACTGGAAAATTAATGGAATGAGAAGCTGTCATAAAAATACATGGCTGTTATTTAGAATAGTAACCTTGTTAAAATTCTGTCTTACAATTTACATTGCTTCTAGTTTGACTTTACATTTAATTCTGTGAAAAACTTTACAGATTCAATATAATCTACATGTTTGTTTAACCTATTTGTGCTATAGAACTAACATTGTAAAATAGTAGTCCTTCATACATTACGGAATTAAAATTTCCATTATCCACAGCCAGCATTGTTCACACTAAGGAGTGCTGGGAGATGTATTCAGCAACACCAAGAGAGCAACAAATCCCCATTTTTGTTTTAAATGGATGAGCAATCCATATCCTTTCAGATGTTGTTATAACACAGTTCCCAGCTTGGAGAATCTTGCTTGAGTTCCAGGAAATCGTAATTTGGCAACATTATGAGGGTCAGAATTTCTTCCTTCTGCTATTATGTATCAGAAATCTATTCCACTGAAGGAACTCTATACAATCAAGCTCATATATTACTGCTTTTTAATATTATAACTATTCAGCTCCTTATTCACAGAAGGAACATTCTGAACTTAAGGCACTCCTTTCACAAATCACAATTTTAATCTTTTCAATACCCTATGAATATTTATCAAAAGGAGGTACCTTACAGATAGGATGGAATTATAATCCCAAAATTCCTAGTGAGCAAGAGGATGCTCACTAGGAATTTTAGAATTATAGTTCAGCAGATCTGCAAGGTACCAGACTGTTGAAGAATTACCTTTAGATATAGATTTAGTCCTTTCAAAATTCCAAAATACAAATTTTGGTTTTGATCTATTTTATTATTAATTTTTAGCCCTTTTTTATTTTGCACTACTCAACTCCTTGTAAGTGTTTTTTTTTTCAAAGCAGCTGAGTTGGTAATGAAGGACAAGATAATGAGGATGAAAATGGTATACATGTACATGAAGAATGAGAAGCTCCTAGGAAATGCTTAAATTAAAAGATGGGAGAAAATAACCAGAAAGAAGAAGACACTTACTCTGGTGTTTGCATGTTTCTCTTTTCCCTAAAAATAAAACAAAAGTTATGAATTAAATAATAGCATTGATATTTGGAACATTAAAACTAAGTGCTGATGGAAACAGGGATGGAAATGCTGGCTTTTATTACAACAGGATCATGATCCAAAAAAGCCATAAAAGAACCAGAACTTGGCATGGCCCCCCAAAGGATTGCCCCAGCAGCTTCAGCAGCACCAGCCAAGCTGTTCTCAAACAGAAGGTCCCTTTCGGCTGTGGAATTGGAAGTAGCCGCCCTTTGCAGAACACTTCAGCTGGGTCTGCAACTGTGGGCTTCTGCATTAATACAAGAAGCTTGAATCATAACCTGAGTTTTATGTCCTTCGGGAACATTACCACAACTGTATGAGAAGGCATGGGTGAAGGCATAGAAAGAAATGAAAAAAGAGGAATAACACAGATATAAAGACATGAATATGCAAGATAGAAGATGGGCTAAAAGGTCCCCAGAACATGTACATGTAAAATGGAAGAGGACTATGTTTGTTTTCTTATGACTGTAATAAAAAATGGATTTGATGATATGTTGCTCGCTGCTTTTCTTTGGCTTTTATTGTCCTAAAATTCAGTTCACAATCTCAAGAAAGTTTATTTTAATTATTAGAAAGACATTTTTCCTACTTTTAGTTCCAAATGAGACAAGTTTAAATTTCTTCTTCAGTTTCTTAACAGATTAAGATTGCTAGCTTGAAAGATAATGGTAGAAATTTCATTTTAGTTCAAGTTTTAGATAATACGAAGCACTGTTTTATGAACTGAATTAAGCTGAACCTAACAATCTTTTTGCATGTGTAGAACTTTACAAAAATGTACAGTCACATATTAATGCTTCAAAGTACTCACACTCCTTCCCGCCGGCAGCACATAATATAAGCAAGTATTAGAAAAAGCACCAGTGCAACTGCAGAGGGAACTGCCAAAGTAATGAGGAAGTCTGAATAATAATCTCTGCTTTTCAGGTTCTCAGAAGGTGGCTTATATTCGCCACCATCTGGCAATATGCCTTCTCCGCGGATCACTTCTTGATAAGTAGAAATTTGCTGTGTTTTATCAACCTGATACCAAAAGTACAAAAAGCATTTTAGACTTCTTTAGAAAAACATGCAGGCAACTATTTACAATGTTAAAAGAAACAACTTAGCTTTCACTGGTCCCCTGCTAGCGTCCTCAGAGTGGGGCTCAGGGGGTGGGGAGATTCTTTTTATATACCTTGCTGGTCTAACTGCTTACTCATTGCCCGTGTGATAGGGCCATCCTTCCTGATTAACTGTAAATGTCTTGGTTGCCCCGCCTTCTCTTTTTTCCACTCCAATTCCACACTTTTCCCCTCTCTCATCCTTGTCAATCTCCTCCCTCCCAGCACCATTGCTACCGATGTGCTCTCTAACCGCTCCCTCCTACTCATTCCAGGCTGTGCATTCAGACCCAGTGTTCCAAAAGGCTTGCCATCAGGGCTCCCTTCCTTTCTGGCCTGTTGGTCTGCACGCTGTTCCTGCCTGCCGTCATCTATTCCTGTCAGTCTTTTTTTCTCCGATTTCCCTCCACCCCCGGGTGTGCGCACGCTCCATCTTGTCTCATCCTTCTGCTCCGTCTGCCCACAACCAGTGGGAATGCCTATCGGCTTGCTCTTAGGCTCAGCCCCTTGTCCTCGTTAGCCTTATCTCCCCCAATTTCCTTTCACATCTGGCTGTGCATGTGTACGATCGTGTCCCGTCTCTCTACCCTGTCTGCCTACAGTCACTTGGACTATCCGCTGGCTCCTTTTTAAGTCCAACTTCCCCCCTTTTTTATCCCTTTTCCCCTCCTCCCCCCTCTTGGCTAACCCTGTCTTGTTTGATATCCCTGTCTTACATGTTTTGGGTTGTACGGTCAGATCCGGCATTCCCAATGCCCTCTCATTGTCACCTCCCCCCTGTGACCCTTCACCATGCTTACTTCCTCCCTTTTCACCCCATCCATCTATCCATCCATCCATCCATCCGTGATTCTAATATTTCACCATCCATCCCTATCATCCCTATTCCCTCCAAATCCTTTCTTTGCCTAGCCATGCGATGACTGCCTTCCCCAGTTCTGGTTCTGCCTCTGGAAAGCGCCATCCGCATCCTGACTTGCTCCTCGTGTATTTTAATGTCTGCTATGCCGGGGGCAATTCTATGCGTCAATTGATTGAATCCATGTTGGAGAGCCAGGCCTCCTTCAGCAGGCATCCTTCTTTGGAGGCATCCTGAGCGATGGCTTCTGCTCCCTTGAAATTCAATGAGTGCCCGTTGTTAACCATATGCGTCCATATTTGGGAATACTGCTCCTGCCTTCTGATGGCCAATCCGGTGCCTTGCAGGGTTCTTGGCGTTTGCTGTATCTTTGGGTGAAGCTGGTTCGGTAACCGTTCCACCTACACACCTGATGGAGGTGGGCATGTTTCACTTGCTTGGCCTTTTTAGTGTTACAGTGCGAATAACATCCTAACGCATGCGATCTTATGGGCTGCTGGATGATTACTCATGTAATGCAGCATCCTATCAGTGTGAGTGGCTTTCCTATATACCATTGTGTGGAGGGCACCATTGGTTTGGCGTGTGACCAACACGTCCAGGAAGGCCAAACTGCCACTGGCGTCCTCCTCCGCCGTGAATTGTATGTCTGGGAGTATTGCGTTCAATTTTTCCATAAAGGCAGTTTTTTTCATTTGTTTGATAATGGCAAACGTGTCATCCACATATCTGGCCCAAAATTCCGGTTGTTAGTCAGCTATTGCTTTAGCCTCCAGGCACTGTAGGACTGCCTCCAGGCACTGTAGGACCCCCGAGATGGGAGGTCCCATCGGTGTGTCTTTAATCTGCTCATATATTGTGTCCTGGAACATGAAGTGTGTTTTCAGACATAATTGTAATAACCTGACAACGTCCTCCATCCTAAGGGAACCCTGACTTCGCAATCCCTTTAGTTTATTACAACTAACAGTATACTATTTCAGATTTGAAATTTGGATAATAGTAAACAGTGCAGTTTCCATAATAAAAGTAAAACAGATTTAAAATTATAGTAAACAGTTTGGTATAGTGGTTAAAACATCAGGCTAGAAATCAGGATGCTGTGAGTTCTAATCCTGCCTCGGATACTAATTAGATCAGCCGGATGACCTTGGGCCAGTCACTTTCTCTCAGCCCTTGAAATGGCAAATTACTTATGAAAAACCTTCCCAAGAAAACTGCAGAACCTTGTTCAGGCTGTCTCCAAGAATCAAACATAACTGTACAGAACAAAAAAAAATACAGAATAACCATAGAATTAACAAGAACAATAAATTACCAGTTTAGCTTTCTTCATCAAGTTAGATTTTCATCAGTCCCCAAATGGCATACTGGAGACAAGGACTACAAAATTTCCAAGCAGGCACATGACAGAACATTAAGACTACAATTGATAGAAATTATGCCTATCCCATGAAATTCATTACAGAAATCCTAAATGCATTTGCCCAATTCATCTTCCCAATGATATTTTAAACATTGAGCAGCTATATTTTCTGAAATATCTCCTTTCAATAACTCACCAAAGAAATTTTACACCAATCTATGTGAAACTGAGTACGAAACTTTTTATCACAAGTTATTAGAGGTTCCATTTCTTGACTGCATCTCAGCTGATTTTGTGGGTTTTCTACTTCCCGTAAGCAGGAAGAAAATGTAACATCTGCACCAACCATAACATAGACACTGAAAAATAAAGTGGAATCAGTTTTAGGATAGTCATTGACAATCTTTAAATTAATCATTTGTTACATTTCCTTTCTGTGAATGAAAACAGCTTCCAGTCTTGTCTTGACTTAGGCGGTTAAAAATTGCCTGAAATGCTCATTCTACTCATGCCAAGGCAAAACATCATCCAATCAGAACTAAAATCACCAGGTCTCTCCTTCTGCATCCTCAGGTTTTAAAAAATAATTCTTCTAGCAGAGAGAGTTGGATTAGACTCACAAAATAGGAATTAATTATTCATTAGTCCAGATACCACTACTGCTTTTTACTGATGTGTTTTTAAGAATACTAAGCTATTCAATAAATAATTGCTACCGGAGACATATAACTTCTTACCCTTCTTTCATGTCATTAATAGGAAGTGGCACTCTCCCTCCCCTATCAAGAGCTGACGTGATGTTTATAGCATTCAGGCGCTCAGGCTGCCATACATTTTTCACAGCTCCAAGGAAGTCTCCCAGAACTTCACTGGCCAACATTTCCTCTACATTCATGTTTTTAATGAAGAATTCTGCTTGATATGGCAAAAGAAGATCTAATTGCAAAAAAAAAAAAAAAAAAAAAAGTGTGTCTTAAATCCTTTTCAAATTTCTGAAAGAGATGGACTAGTAAATCACAAATACAGGTAATAATCCTTGAATTACAATCATAACTAACCCCAAAATTTGTACTGCTAAGCAACACAGCTAAGTGAGTTTTTGCCATTTTATAATCTTCCTTGCCACCGTTGTTAAGTGAATCACTGCAGTTGTTCAGTTAGTAACATGGTTGTTCAGTGACTCTGGGTTTCCCATTGACTTCGCCTATCAGAAAGTTGCAAAATATAACCCTGGGACACTGCAGTCATCATAAATACAAATCAGTTGACAGACATCCAAATTTTGATCATGACCGTGTGTACGCTGCAATGTTCATAAGTGTGAAAAATGATTCTAAATCACTTTCTTCAGTGCTGCTGTAACTTTGAATGGTCACTAAATGAACTGTTGTAATTCGAAGATACTTGTATAGTATTTTGTCTCCTTTTATCTGCATGAATAAATGTAAACATGCCAAAGAAAGGCCTAGTCTTTTAAGCATAGTTATAAAACTCAGAGTGTTACAACCCATGAATTGATTATTTGTGCTGGCACCTCTTATGCACTGCTTTTGAACCAATACTAAAAAGTCATTACTTCATTCTCATTTAGCAATAGGCCATGACTTGCATAATTTGGATGTAACTAACCAGAGCATATTCAACTTTGGAAAGAGTCAGTCACTGTCTCTCAGCCCAACCCACGACATGGGGTTGTGGGAAAAATAAAAGGAAGAAAGAGTATTAGACACGTTCACCACCTTGAGTTATTTATAAAAAATAATGGAGGTACTGTATATAAATGAATATATAAAAATATTGTGCAAATACAATATTGTGCAAATATTGTATATAAATGAATATATAAAAATATTGTGCAAATACAATATTGTGCAAATATAATAACCACTGTGCAATAAAAATATTGTGCAAATACAATAACCATCAATGTCAATAGTTCAGAGATATGATTATATGATATGACAAGAGACACTGTCAAATACCCTTTTCCCATTACTTTTGCTTTTATATGAGGGCAATTCAGAAATAAATACACATTAGAAAACTACAACATTACATTACTTTTCTACATAATCGCCATTCAAATTGAGGCACTTGTCATAACATCTTACAAGGTTGAAATTCCTTAGTAGTAATTGCTTGGCATCAAATCTGGGCTATGGGGGATCAAAAACATCCCAACAGAACAGCTTCAAAAGTTCTTGGGTATGTCTAGCAGTATGTGGGTGAGCATTATTTTGAACTAACACCACACCGGAAGTAGTGCCATAGAAAATCCCACCAAATGTGAAGATGCCAAAAGAGTACTGCTAGCGAAGTTCATGGAACGTGGTTCGACCATCAATTCAGACATCTACTGTGAAATGTTACAAAAATTCAGACAAGCCACCTGTAACAAGCGTCGAGGCATGCTGATTTCCCATGTGGTGTTGGTTCATAATAATGCTCGCCCGCACACTGCTAGACGCCTCCAAGAACTTTTGAAGCAGTTCCATTGGGATGTTTTTGATCACGCCTCCATAGCCCAGATTTGGCATCAAGTGACTGCTAAGGAATTTCAAACCTTGTCAGACATTATGACAAGTGCCTCAATTTGAATGGTGATTATGTAGCAAAGTAATGTATTGTTGTAGTTTTCTAATGTGTATAATAAAAGTTCTGTATCTGCGAGTGTCTATTATTGATAATCAAATGGAGGTTTATTTCCGAAGTGCCCTCGTAATTATTCAGTAAAACGTAACCAATTCATATTATTTATCAACTGAAACCTCCAAAATGCTGACATAATTCTTGAGGACATACCTTCTGCTGACATTATATTAATAATTAAATTATGTCTTGCTGTCTCAAAAGTACGTCTGTTATAAGCAGTGATCTAGTAATGGAGGAAAAATTAATTATTACATTTCATAAAGGATAATATGGTAAACAACAATAATGGTTCTTTTAAATTTGCTACAGATGTTTTTGTTTAATCTTCTCTTATTGAAGAACTGAAAATCAGAGAAACAAGCTATGTTGGGGACAGTAGTCTATTCTCCTTTCAGTTATAATATAACTGAAGAAATTTTGAGAATTATGGGACATTCCAGTACTGGTCAGCTTACCTTCCACAATCTTACTAAGCAATACAAAGGTGTTAATGGACTTAGAAGTTGACTGTTTTTTAAGTAATATGATTTTTTTAATCATACATGAAAAATTATATTAAGATAAAATCCTTTATCTACATACCTAGAACAAGTCCTCTTTCAGTCTTGCAGTTCTTTCATCAAATCTGATAGTACTGAAAGCAATTCAATATCTCTGCATTTAAGAGCTATAGTTTTTCAATAGAACAGACACTGAAATGTAATTTTCAACATTGCTTACCTTTCCTTTTAATGGAATATGTGTGTGTTTATACTATTATCATTATCCCTGGTAGCATGTTTCTAACAAAATGTCTAATGCATTTTTAAAAATAAACATTCTGCAAAGTAAATACCTCAATGATAGTTGGCTTGCCCATGTTTTCTATAGTTGGTGATCCGTAGAGCACACCATCACTATATGGTGTTCTTTGGATGTAGCGCAACCAGCCAGGTCTATCAGGGTAGCCCATTAGGTTTGTATTAAATGTTATGGGATCATTGTTTATCTCACCTGGATAAATAAGACACCCATGTTAAAATACTGTTTAATCATCAGAATACCATATTTTTATGCTCATTCCAATGATAAATTCCTACTATTTAGAATCTTAATAATTTTCATTACGGTAATAAACACAAAAAAGTATAACTATAGTTCTTTATAGTTGTGGCCAACAAGAATGAAATATTTGAAAACAAAAAGAAAAATGGAATATTCAGCAACAGCCATTGACTCCTAATACCGCATAAATGCCAGTATTAGTACTAAATTGGACCTAACCCTAATTAAGTGGGCACTGCGGCTTAAATGAGGTTGTTCCATTAACTGTGAAGGATTTGCTATATCCCTTTACAGCAGGGGTTCCCAATGGGTGATGTTTGCAGCCCCTGGGAGTGCGAGACAATATTCCAGGGGGTATGAAAACTTGGGTTTAGAAGTTTCAAAATTATAGAGTGTATGCATAATTTCATTGCCATTATTTCAAACTTTTGTAAGAGATGCAAGAATATATCAGAAGCGTTCTAGAGATGCAGAGTATAGAAAAGGTTGGGAACTGCTGCTCTATAGGAACAAGTGTTAAATATGTTAAGAAAGTGTGTTTGTTAATTTTGCTATAATAGTCTGATCTGATTTTATGGAAATACGAATAATAACACGTATCACAATAGGTATTTTTTATTAAATGCAAATTGGAAAAGAGATGATACCCAAGAACAACTGGAGGCTAAGTACAGTTAGTCTACTCTAAAGGCCAAAAAAGTCATGATGCTAAATGTGTCAGTTACAAATCTAATCAGAAAGAGAGAGAAAGGTGATATTTTCATATCAAATTAACAGTGCCATTTTTACTGAGACGTAAATCTTTTCACTCTCTCCTATGCATACATAGCCAATAGCCTTTGAGCTACACCTTTTGTAGAGAAATGATGATTATGTGATCTTCATAAAGACAAGTTAAAATGGAAGCTGTATCAGTTTTATACGCCTTTATAATTGTAAACATTTCTTACCAAGCTTTCCATAAGGAGGAAACTCTCCTTTAAAATGTTCTCTCTCCAAAACATGAACAAAGAGAACTCCAGCAGAAGGATAAACATTTCGATCAGAATGCACCTTAGAAAGAATTGTGTATACTGGAAAGCAGGAGAATAGAAGAGGACACAACATGAAAAAAATAGATCCATGGAAAATAGTGGTTATATGCTCATTTTAAAAAAAGCTGAAAAATATGACATACAATACAAACCCTAAAGTATTTGTTGCCTTTTTTAGATATCTTCACAGCTCTTCTTCAGTTATGTAGCTCCTGATACTGAACAATTTAGAATTTCAATCTTAATTATATAAAACCCAAGAAGCAATTTACAAGTCACTTTGTATGTGGTAAAACATATTGAGAGATGTCAAAGCAGCTACATTTTTGAATAGTTTGGTAAAAAGAAGAAAAGCATTTTCATGGTACTGTATTTTTCAATTCATGTAGTTATTATGAAATCTTACTGCAATCAATTTTGCTTGTTGCAGCAGTCTTAGTGTGTTAAAAGTAAGTAACACAAAGAAGCAGAACAAAAAGAGTGCTCTGTTTGAAAGAACTTTCAGAAAGCCTGTAATTTATGCTAAATGCATTCTTTCCCCACTCCTGACAACTCTTTTGCTAACAATATTTTATTATCAACCTTTCAAGAACTATATATAATTGTTAACAAATGCAACTTGTATTCCTTGATGAATTCCAGATCATCAAGGGCATCTCTCAGCTTGAGAAGTAATGGTTGGGAGCACAATTCTGATCACTATCACATAAAAGGGCATAAATATCTCAGTTTTTAAGCCTGCATTATAATCAGCATGAATAATAAGCATTAAGCACACAAAATCTATGGTTACACTTTATTAAAACTCTGTAAAATTTCATACATGAATATATATGTATGAAAACATTAGATACATGTTTTATATTGCTTTTATTTTTACTCTTTTCAGTATTATTTCTCTTGGGGCTTTTTTGTGAATAATCTAAATCAGGGGTGTCAAACTGCTGGCCCGCAGGCCGGATGTGTCATGCCAAAACAGCACCCACCCCATTGCTGGCAATGGAAAAAAAGTTGCGATACATCGCAACACATCACGTGACATTGCAAGTTTGGCTGACTATTTGAAGAATCATAATAATAATTTACATAAAATAAAAAAATAAAGGAGTTTTATAAAAAAATATCTGTGAGGAAGTCTTTGACAGTAAAAAAAATCTAATGGAAACACATTCTTAACTTTTACTCTCATTGAACTATCTTATTGTTTACTTATAAATGTGTTACATGTGATTAATATAAAACTTTGTATTCAGTGAAAAGCAAGGTAGAATCGATCTAAAATCAGTCATGTAGAGGTCATGAAGATTCCATTTGAGTATCTCTCAGTAATTCAATATAAATAATGTGGAAATATTAAATTAAATTCTGATTTTTATCCATATCATATCAATGCCTATAGTATCAACTGCATCAACATTTCACAAACTTCTTTTATCATTTGTTGACTTCTTTTATATTAAGACTGAGTTTATACTTTAAAACTGCTACATCATAAAAGAGGACAAAATTTTAGTTGGCTTCTAAAAGTTCAACAATGAAAGCTATTGACAAGTGGTAGTAAGAAGCAAGTACAATTAGGTTATTACATTCAATAAAACTGGAAGATGATATATACTTTCTATTCACTGTGTTTTAAGGTATATGTAGATGAATTTCCCCCCTTATCCCTTGAGTGAATCAAAGTTACACAGAAAATGTGTAAAATAATTGAAATATATTATTCATTAGATGTAATATTTATGACTTATCTGAGGTGGGCAATAAGTTGTTATTTAATCTTTCATACACATAACAAAACATCTTTCAATTTTGACTCTACTGAGAGTGAAGAATAATTCTAATTACCCAGGTCATCCTAACAGCTTAGGATACTCAGCTATTTTGCCATCTTTGGTAAAGCTAAACCTATTTTAAATGCAATTTTTTTCAGTTAACTAGCCAGTACAAGTAGTCTTCAACTTACAACCATAATTGAGTCCAGAATTTTGGTCATAAATTATGCCAGTCATTAAGCAAGTTATTACAGGACTGTGCCCAATTTTACATTGGTCATAAAGTAAATGCTGTGGTCATTAAATGAATGCTACAGTTATTAAGGGAAATTGTGGTCATTAAGCAAACCCATTGTTTGTGATGAGCTCTTTTTGCTAGAAACCAAAAGTAAACTTTGTTTTTTTTATTTAAAAATCCTCTATAAATTGTAGCCACAATGCAGGATATGGCAAACGGTCATAAAAGCAGGCAAGTTCCTATGCACCCAAATTGCAATTATGTCACCATAGGGGGCGCAGGATCACAAATACTCTTTTCTGGGCCTGGCACAAATTTAAAATGGTCACTAAGCAACTGATCTTAAGTACCTGTAATACCCTGGGTAACCTGTCAAGCATATGAATGTTTAGGTATAATCCATACATATTGTGTTTTGATATGCTGTTAGGCTAGAAGCAAATCTGACAGTGTCTTCCGTCTGTCCCAAGGCAAAGCCTATAGTTAAGAAACATACAAGTCATAACAGAAATCTGAGCTGATAAATTGTAGAAGCTTTTACAAATAGGCCATTGCATGTACAGTATGAAATTACCTAACAGTAAGCCTATGGAGTGAACACTGCAGATTGCCTATCCCACACTACACCAAATCCACATCTTCCACGTCATCCTTAGAAATCCTTTAATGAGTGATTTCTTCTATCCCGAGTAGATGCTCTGGAATATCATAAGTTGGCTGATGAGAACAATACTGAGAGACCTAGGAGGGTTCTAACGTACAGACTTATAATTCTGCAAGCACATAAGATTATGCTGCAGGATCAACTCACTGCATCCCACTGTGCAATGCATCCTAAATACCAAGTCTTGCTTTATTCCATAGTTCTTTTTACAACACTGTAATCCCTTGCTCTGAGGTGGGGTCAGGGTGACTGAATGGAACTGAGTGTTTGCTGGTCGGATGCTCTTCCTGATGCCTATGCAGGGTTCACAGCAGATATTTTCTCTTGCAGAGAAATATCTGTCCCTGCCTAGGATTGAACTCTCAGCCTTCTGACTGGGAGGCAAACATCTTCACCTCTAGACCACCACGCTATTCCACAGAGTTCATATCCTACAAATTAATTCAAGAGAAATTTTAATTCCTGCTTCAGATGAGTCACTCCCCACAATGCCAATAAAACTAACCATCAGACATTTTTTTCCTCATCTCAAAAACAGAGGGAGAAAGATAACATTGTTTTCCACATCTGATATAAATGCAAGTTCTCTCAGGCATTTAATTAAATATACTGCATTATCAGATTTTTCTCATGTTTTCTAATCCAGCTGTTCCTCTATAGCAGTGGTTCTCAACCTTTTTAATGCCCCAACCGGTCGTATGTCGAGGACTACCCAACCGGTCATAAGTCGAGGACTACTCAACTGGTGCAGCACCGTTTGCAGAATGGGACTTTTGGCGGGCTCAGCAGGGCAGAGACAGCCTGGACAATTCCTATTGGCTTTTGAAAGCCAATAGAATTAGACTCTATTCAAGAGAGTCTATTCTATTGGCTTTCAAAAGCCAATAGAATAAAAGGGAGTAGCACAGCTAAGGAAAAGGGGGGGGGGAAAATGGCGGACTGCGTTGTTTGGCGACCCCCGTGAAATGGTCGTTCGACCCCAAATGGGGTCCCGACCCACAGGTTGAGAACCACTGCTCTACAGTGTTTTCATATTAGACAGTTATGTTTCCAATCAAAGCAGGTAATTTCATTAGCATAGTTCCAACAGTATCACTATTAAAATAATGTGGTGACCATACTATGTGATGGTCTGAGCATATTAGGCAGAAATGACTATATTTGCCGTTCATTAATCTACGTCAGCATAGAGTGATTATGCAATGCTTCAGATATTATTCTAAAAAAGTGCTATAGAACGATATGCCAAATTAATCCTAAACTAGGTGTTGGCAGTTATTATTAAATCAAGTCCTACGTCAAATGTTACAGATATTCTTTCATCTCTAGTTATGACTGCAAATACATGAAAAAATTTTTTTTCTTTTTCCTATTTCCAGCTTTATCATGAAGCTCTTGCTGCATTCCACAATTTTCTGGGATGGTCTGTTTTCCCACTGCATTATAGGAAATGTTGCCTTGTCATAGGAAGTTACTTTATTTTATTTTATAAGTCACACCAGTACTGTATTTAATTCATTAACTGAACAAATATGTAGTTATTCTACAGAAACATTTGTTTCCCCAAACCATACTTTAAAATTCTAGCATTTAATTAGGTATTCTTAGAAGCAGTGCACTAATTTAGTTTTCCTTGAGTCTTATTCTTCTAATTTTCTTCTCCATTTTAATTTTTTCTATGTAAGATAGCTAACCACAAAAAAATTAAAAACCTAAATGATAGGAACAATTTTCCCTAATTGATCCTGACATTTAAAATGTCTCCTAAAATGAATTGAGACACGATCTATAAATGGGAATAAAATGAATAAGCAATATTATAAACAAATTATCCCACTCACCAGTTTACTAGTGTGGTTAAGGAGATGTCAGTAAGGAGGAATGTGCAATATTTTAAAATGGGGCCATTATTTGAATGAGGAAAACCACAAATAATTTAACTGAAAATTTAGTAGCAAACAAAAAAAATTAGAATGAGGAAAACAACATTTGGGGAGATTAGATGTTTATATATTTGTTGTTATCTGCACACATTGTCAGTAAAACACAACAGAAGTGATTTATCACAGAATACTGCAGGAAGTTGATAAATCCCATTTAAATGCCTAAACTCACCATTTTTCTCAGCAGCCTTAATGCTACTGCTAATATATCTGATGAGATGCTTTGTCTTCCCTTTAATCATTCCATTTACGCCAGCAGGAGGGTATAAGAAAAAAGCTTTCCAAAGGAAAACAAATGCAAGATAAATAAATTAATACTAGGTCAACTGTTTCTCAGTAGTCAAAGGCCATAAGTCAGAAAACACTTCATTTGGCAGATTCTTATCTTTGGCTTGTTGGAAAAGAAACAAGGAAGATTGCTTATTTCATACATCATGCTAAACAAGCCATGGATGGAATTTCTTCAATAGATTAAGTTGCTATCACTTAAAGAAGCCAAATGGAAGACATTGGAAATATATACTGATATATTGCTAACTTTATTGTAGTTAAGCAAACGTTCCTAAGAATACACCATAGTCTGATGCTCAGGCACAATGTTTCAGTTCTGTACATGGTAAAGAATAAGAAAGAAATTCATAAGTGAGGGGTCCTTGGTGATCTCTGAGTTTGCTTGTTTTCTTGCAGATGTTTCATTACAAACTAGATAACATTATCAATGAGCACTGATGAAGTTATCTAGTTTGGGTTATGAAACATCTGCAAGAAAACAAGCAAGCTTAGAGAGCACCAATGACCCCACATGTCAACCTGAGCTATAAATATTCTCCTTTATTACTAAATTCATAGGTGCTAATATTTTTAAAAAAGAGTATTAATAAATCTGTTTTAAGTTACTAATATCTACTGAATATTTTTGTTTCCAAGAAATTTAAAGATAAACAGCTTAAGCTAAAGCTTAAGGCCTGCTTAAGCCATTCCTGACATTAAAAAACCACCTAAGAACAGATCACTTAAAGATGTCATAAACTTAAATTCTTCTCCAATTTGTCTCAAAAATGGAGTTTGCGCTATTATTGTTACTCTAACATTAATACGGTTTCTCAAAAGTCATGTATTTCTTAAACATTGGTTTCACCCATAATATTCTTGAGATTTTGTTTTCTTCAAACAGTGACTGTAAAACATGATTTTGATGTTTTGAATAAACTACATACATTCAGAGCAAAGTCATAAAACCATTTTAAAAACAAACATTGGGTAGCTCACCTGTAATTGGTTCTACAAGTAGCTCTGGATGCAGTAGTCATGATTGGAATTTTCTACTGCCGACACAGACAGGAAAACATACCTCCAGAAGGACAAGCTCTTGGGTACAATTCCTGTAACTTTCCCTTCAGCATCCATGAAAAGCAGGTTGATAGAATAGGAGATTAAAAATATCTATCATAGTATGGATTTGGAGAAGGAGAGGAAGACAGAGGGCATAGCAGCATGTGTATCTTCAGAAAAATGTCTGTGTATCACACATATGGATAAGTAACATGCTTATCTCAGGGAGATAAACAGATGATGCCCAAATTATCCCTGGATCTAGTCAAATCATCTTTTAAAATAATTTAATCTATGGCTTAAACCAGTGGTTCTCAACCTTTCTAATGCCGTGACCCCATAATACAGTTCCCCATGTTGTCGTGACCCCCAACCACTTATACATCACCATGTGCCGGGGACATGGCCAAAGAAAAGGGGAAAAAATGGCAGACAGCCTTGTTTGGCGACCCCGGTGAAATGGTCGTTCGACCCCAAATGGGGTCCCGACCCACAGGTTGAGAACCACTGGCTTAAACACAGAGACACTGAATGAATGTGAAACATTGGTATCATATTGCTGCCTGGCAGAATTTGCTAAAACACATACAGAGCAAAGAACTAAGCATCTTATACATAGAAGATCTCTACAAAATAAATCTATTGATAAAATATATCCAATGTTGCTTGCTGTTAATATCTTGAGTACTACTTCTGTGGTAATACAATAAAGGTAAGATTTATTACATATTTAATGAATAATTTCAGTTAGTTGAAATAGCAAGATACCCTAAAGGGATGACTAAGCCTAATAATTAAAATATCACTGAAACAAGTTAATGAACTAGATTACAAGCTGAATCAAGAAGAAACTGAGAAAAAAGTCCATTTCTAAATTATGCAATTTTAAAACCTAAACTGCATCCCAAGTGGACACTGCTGAAACAGAAACTATGATGTCAGGTACAACTTGCTCTCATTGGAAAGTGTTTTGCTCAGCAAATAGGGAAACGGTAGAATATGAAAGTCAGCATTAGGCTCTCCATCACAGGGTCATAAAGAGTGAATAAAGAATAACAAAGTTCGAAGGAACCTTGGAGGTCTTCTGGTCCCTGCTCAAGCAGGAGATTCTATACCATTCCAGACAAATGGCAGTCCAATCTCTTCTTTAAAATCTCCAGTGATAGACATAGAACTTGGAGGCGTTTATGCCAAAAAAAATGGAGAAAAAGCTTAACACGTTTCCCAGAAAATGTGTGTATATTCTTGTTCTGGAACAGAATCATGGATTCCAAGCCTAACCAGAAGGAATTTTATGGATAAGAGATCAAGGAAAGCATAGAACTGCAATTACCTTCAACAGACAGGGTGAGATCAAATGAGAAAAGACCTTAAGCAAGACCTTTCTTCATTGGGTACTGCAATGAAAAAAGTGTAAAATATTTGAAAATTATCAGGTTTTAAATATGAGAATCACTTCTCACACTAATAGAAAAGGAGCCAGTTACCAAAGTAATAAACAAATGCAAACTGTTTTTTGTTTATTTAGGGGTCCAGCCCTTTTCATGGAAAGAGTATGAAGAAACGTACAAGAGTTGTTGTTCTGCCTCAAATTTGCCTATATATAGATGTTTCATTCTATAGAGTATAATACAATTACAAATTCCTTTTTACAACCCTGTAGTCCCTGTTCACGGTAGAGCTGAGCATTTACTGGCAGAATATTTAATACTGAAATTCTTGTAACCTTTACTTTCCTCCTATACAAGTACTAGCTAGAGATGTAGTTCTATTCCTTGGTATTACTACTTCCAGTCCATATTCCAGGGAAGACAATAAAATTCTGTACCATTTACCCCACCTGCTCAGAGACCATCAATTGTCTGTTATTGTTAAATTTATTTTGCATATAATAAAATAATAATTCCTGGCTAGTTAGTCCTTTTCTCTGGAAGGAAGCTTGATAGCTATTGGCAAAAGACATAGCAACAATCTGTGGTTGGAGCATTCATTTCTATGTTATTACATGCACATGACTACTGAAATCTACCACAGTTCTAGATGATTTTGATCATGACTAAGGACAAGTACCTTATTCATCTGTGTGGTAAGCAAAGGAACATAGTAATATTCTTATCTCAAAACATTCCTTTAAATTCAATTGGAAGAGGTCAACCTCTTTTCCAAAGCACCTGAGGGCAGGACAAGAAGCAACGGCTAGAAACTAATCAACGAGAGTAGCAACCTAGAACTAAGGAGAAATTTCCTGACAGTTAGAACAATTAACCAGTGGAACAACTTGCCTCCAGAAGTGGTGAATGCTCCAACATTGGAAGTTTTAAAGAAGAGACTGGATAACCATTTGTCTGAAATGGTATAGGGATTCCTGCCTGAACAGGGGGTTGGACTAGATGACCTCCAAGGTCCCTTCCAACTGTGTTATTCTGTTACAGACTTTCAGAATTATTATTCAAGCCAGTACTTTTGACCTGAACACCTTTTTACAACTAGTTTGTAAAATAAATTCTCTTACCACCATGTAGATATTATTTTAACAAGTCAGTGCCTAGTTTCTCTAGGATCATATACACTTTTGTCATAATGACTGAAGAAATATAAGCATCATAGAAAATTATAGAAAAACTAAGAAAATACATTATACAAATTCTAGCAGGGACCAATCTACCAACTTCACAAAAATTGCCATTAATCACATAGCAGCATGGGAGCAATATCCCTATCAACCCTATAAAAAAAGAATTGATCTCCAAACCAATCACACTGCACACACAAGCACATATTTTGATATACACAGACAACACACAGGAGTGACTATAATTCAGATAGCAAAAATCCAGCAAATGAAAATATTCAAAATATCCACAGACTCTGTTAGAGAATGCAAGAAAGGAGCAAGAAATAATAAGACAAAGAAATTAAAGATATGATATATAAAAGAAAGTATAGCTGAATCCTTGCTTTCACTGTTTTGTGTCATAAGTTCACCATCACTGGTATAGGAGAATAACAATGGATTCTAAGTATGGAAGTAGTCTTTACATATGTATTAAAATTGCATCCATACTATAAGCAATCACATACCAATTTTATCAATTTGCCAATTTATTTATTTATTATTCAAATGTATTGACTGCTTAACTCCAGTGAATTATGGTGCAATAACAACTTTAAAAAACAAAAACCATAATAGCAAACAACATTAAATCAATAAATCAAATCATTAAATCAACAATAAAATCAGCTAACAAAACACACATACACACAAAACACATACACAAACATTGGTCATTAAACATCAATCCCAGGCCTGGGAAGAAGGCTAGATTTTCAAGTTATCCTATATGCTGTATTTTTTATTTAAATTTTATTTATATCTTTATTTATATGTACTTATAGACCACCACTCAGGATACATACTGGATAAAAAACTAAGGAAAAAATCCACTCTTTCCAAGGGTGTGTGTATGGAAGTCTTGTACAACACTATACATGGGGACATGACTTAAAATAATATTTTTATCTCTTCTGCACTAATAGCTTAGGGAAAAATGAACTGATATACTTTTCTAATAGATTCTATATATTTCTTCCTAAAATACTACTAAACTCCAAGACTAGGATAGTTCTTGAAGTTAATGCACTGTATCAAATCATCTAAAGTGCAATGGCCCATACATTCAGTTCTCAAGTATATTTGAATTTCATAGAAAGAGCTGACTGAAGAATCCCCATCTAGGATAAAAGCAGTTATATACTGTCTCCTTGTGGCTGATTTAGGTAAGGCGTTGCATTATCACTTGTATCCTTATTATGTGACAGTATTCCAGCTGAGCTATTCAAAATCTTAAAAGACGATGCAGTAAAAGTGCTACACTCAATTTGCCAGCAAATTTGGAAAACTCAACAGTGGCCACAGGATTGGAAAAGGTCAGTTTACATTCCAATTCCAAAGAAAGGCAATGCCAAAGAATGTTCAAACTATCGCACCATTGCACTCATTTCACATGCTAGTAAAGTTATGCTTAAAATCCTACAAGCTAGACTCCAGCAGTATGTGGATCGAGAACTACCAGAAGTACAGGCAGGATTTCGAAGAGGCAGAGGAACTAGAGATCAAATTGCCAACATACGCTGGATCATGGAGAAAGCTAGGGAGTTCCAGAAAAACATCTACTTCTGCTTCATTGACTATGCTAAAGCCTTTGATTGTGTGGATCACAACAAATTGTGGCAAGTTCTTAAAGAGATGGGACTACCAGACCATCTTATTTGCCTCTTGAAAAACCTATATGCGGATCAAGAAGCAACAGTGAGAACTGGACACGGAACCACTGATTGGTTCAAAATTGGAAAAGGAGTCCGGCAAGGCTGTATACTGTCGCCCTGCCTATTTAACTTATATGCAGAGCACATCATGAGAAAGGCAGGGCTAGATGAATCAAAAGTTGGAATTAAGATTGCCGGGAGAAATATCAACAACCTAAGATATGCAGATGATACCACTCTAATGGCAGAAAGTGAAGAGGAACTAAAGAGCCTCTTGATGCGGGTGAAGAAGGAGAGTGCAAAAGTTGGCTTGAAACTCAACATTAAGAAAGCCAAAATCATGGCATCCGGCCCTCTCAATTCCTGGCAAATAGATGGGGAAGAAATGGAGGTAGTGACAGATTTTATTTTTCTGGGCTCCAAGATCACCTCAGATGGGGACTGCAGCCAAGAAATTAAAAGACGCTTGCTCCTGGGGAGGAAAGCTATGGCAAATCTAGACAGCATACTAAAAAGCAGAGACATCACCCTGCCAACAAAAGTGCGTATAGTCCAGGCCATGGTTTTCTCAGTTGCAATGTATGGCTGTGAAAGTTGGACCATAAGAAAGGCTGAGCACCAAAGAATTGAGGCCTTTGAACTATGGTGCTGGAGAAGACTCCTGCGAGTCCCTTGGACTGCAAGGCGTTCAAACCGGTCAGTCCTAGAAGAGATCAACCCCGACTGCTCTTTAGAAGGCCAGATCCTGAAGTTGAAACTCAAATACTTTGGCCACCTAATGAGAAGGAAGGACTCACTGGAGAAGGGCCTAATGCTGGGAAAGATTGAGGGCAATAGAAGAAGGGGACGACAGAGAATGAGATGGCTGGATGGAGTCACTGAAGCAGTAGGTGTGAACTTAAATGGACTCCAGAAGATGGTAGAGGACAGGAAGACCTGGAGGAACATTGTCCATGGGGTCGCGATGGGTCGGACACGACTTCGCAATTAACAACAACAACAACAACAATCCTTATTATTTTCCGACATTCTGTTATGCATACTTCATTTATTTTTTTCGTATGTTGTATATTGACTTTTTTCATAATATTCCACTGCATTCCCATACAAATCACTCAACTACATTGTAATTACAGAAATTAATGCAAAAATATATATTTCTGTAGAAGAATGAATGAAGTAAACATTTTGTGCCATGACTGTATGGATGTATAGATATGTATTCATGCAATATGCCTGTGTAAAACAAGCAAAACATTTAGACATCATATGGGGAAAAGAATATGAGTCTGAGATGTGAGAGAGAAGAGGAAGAATGGATAGGTTTCTAAAAGGGAGTATATTTTGTGAAATTCTTTTGGGTGTTTATGCAATAAATTTTATGATTCACCATTCCTTAAATAAGCAGCTATTCTGTGACTGTTCATAAAACTTTTTAAAAATTGAAATGAGTTCCCAAAAAGATTGGAAACATTACTAGAATTGCAGGCACCAAATTTAGGATATCCCTTCCATTTGAACTTATTGGCTAGTATGTGCACACACTCTGCTTCCAAAAGTGTTTTAGTACAATCAACACCGAATACAAGGCCAGCGCTGAAATCAGTTTTGCTCATGAACAAGATCTTGAGTATTTCCAATGTTCTATGATCAGATAAAAGAATATTATAAGCATTCAGTGTTCTGCTGAATGAGGATGATTGTCAAAAAATTGTTTTGCAATTCTTTGCACATACTATTCAAAAGCAAAGGCCTGGGGATAGAGATATTTACAGTCAAATATCTATTTGTATGCATCAAATCAGTAACATAATCTTATAAAAATATGAAATGTTAAGCATACAGAAGAAACATAATAGCTGAGATACAAGAAAAAAGCTAGTTTATGCTACTAGTTTAAACTACTATAATTTACTTCAGTTATTTTACTTAATTTCCTTATATGGGATCATATTTCTGATAAATTCATATTAAAGTACCTGTTTATATACTTCAGTAAGAAAATGTGCAATTTGCTTTCCAAATTTTAACTTCTAATTTTAATAAAATGACTCATATACATACCACATGTAACCCAGCTTTTTAAAAATTGTTAACGCATTCATAGACTTTGATAACTCAGTCTTTTCATCTTTATTGTGATTTGTAATTACAGAAGAAGGAATCATTGTTGAAGTATTTGATTACTTTTCTTTGAGAATTTGTGGATTTTAATGCAAATGCTAAGTCTCTATATATTCTATATTGTACTAAAAGTTCAAAGCTATTTCTCCTCAATATTTTTGAACAATGGATCCAGAAGTTAATTTTAAAAGTGTCTGTCACAATCTAATGGACTGTATTTAAAATACCATGGAAGAACATATTTTGCCTTTCAAGATTGAGATTGATCTGAAAATGAATTTAAAAATGACATACAAAAAAAAATCAGTCACTGTTTTAATAATTAAAAGAGATACACAAGTAACAATCCAGCAGAGAAATCTGGATCATTTTCCTATATTAGATTTACAAAAGAGGTTTGTTAACGCTTTGAAAATTTTTATGAGATGGAACAAAGAAAAAATGAAAATAAATCTAATTCTACAACATTATTTGAGGAAACTAAAAAACCAAGATTATTAAAAGTAAAAAGAAAGGAATATAAAGTTGGTTTACTTAATAAAAATTAAAATAGGTATGTTATTAATTCTCTGCTGACTTTTAATGAACTTTTGCTGACATCAAGACTGAAATGAGGGGTTTTAAAGAATGATTTAAGATATGCTAACAAGAGACCATTTGTTGTATTTTAAGAGAAGCTGTTAAGTTGCTAAAATTGTTCATACTTGTTTAAGAGGGAAAGTAAATTCTTTATACATTTCTTTTTTTTAATTCGATTTCTTTTTTATTACTGCATCTTCTATTTTTTCATTTTATTCTTTTTTTAGTTTGTATTAGTTTACTGTTATAATTTTAAGTTTTTAATAAAATTACAATTAAAAAAGAAGACATTTGGTTCACTGAGGAAGATATAACACATGCCTTGTATATCGGTTATGGTAGAACAACATCCCTAGAGAGCTGTAGTTTAGCCAGCACTGAATAGCATGGACCACTGATTCTTATTACCTGAAAAACAGGCAATAAATGTCAAAAGTGCATATACCACTTTATATGTTTTCTTTTACTTTAATAGTTAACACTATGTATCCTTAGTTCTCTTATCATAATGTTAAAGGCAGTTACTTAATCATAAATACAGCATTCATCATATATTATTAGAATGTGAATATTAACCATGGGGGAGGAGCAAAAAAAGCAAATAAACCCAATATTTGAGGTTATTGTTATTCTGAATTTACTCTATCCAACATTTATTTTTTATGGAGGTCTTGTCCTCTGTCTTCGTTTCCTTAGACAAGCATTTACACATGTTTTCCTTTTTTGGTTAGCAGGATACTTTCCTCTCCATTTGCTAGTAATGCTCAGCTTGTATCCACATAACCAAGAATGGAAAAATGTGTCTGCTATTCCAAGTTCAGGAATGATAGAAAGCTTTGCTAATGGGTTGTCTGATCTGCAAAAGAGGAAAGAAGCCTCTATCCACCAGAACACAATCAGAATTCACACAGTTTAGGACTATATGGGGCAGAGAAAGTTGGGAGATTATAACACTTCTGCATACATATTACGTTTTTTTTTTAAAAAAAAAGCACATTTGCCATGGCATTTTCTTTGAAATGCAAGATTACAAAAATTATTGGAGCTTCTGCATATAAACACACCAGGTATTATCATTCTAGATAAGGTTGATCCTTAAATATATTCTTCTATATGGTAATCTGCTCATGTTTGTGTATTTTTCCATTATTGTAAAAAACACCAGTAATACAGCTTTAAAAAACATTTTTCTATAGTATGTCCTGATGTTATGAAAGAGGGAAGGGAATGGCATCTGGTCAGGGAAGGCAATGCCTTTTGCAGGCAACTATCCCAACTGCTCCCTCCTTTCTTGCCCGCAATTTTTTTTGAACCCTCCCGGGGCAGCTGCTTCAGGAAAGGCGGGCATCCGTTCGTGCGGGAAAAACAGCGAGCCGCTGCAGCAGGCGCAGCGGCAGAAGGCTGGCATCAAGGCAGAGACGAGGAGGGACACCCCCACCGCCGCTTGACAAGGGTTGGGCATGAGAAGCAACGGTATGTCAGGCCGTGTCCGAAGGAGGATGCGCCATCTAAGCGGGAAAGCTGGGCCCAAGCAGGGGCTCCGCAAAGACCAACCTGTCAGCAAGAGGGTGGTAAGAGCCGCTCCGCTGGGTTTGCCCTGGGACTGGAACCAGGATCCTGCTCCGCGGTGCAGCATTGCTTCTTGCGGCTGGAGCTAAGTGCAGTCCTCTGGCTACTGCTGTTGCTGCTGCTACTCCTCCTCCCTCCGCCGCCCGCCTTCCCGCCTGGCATAACTATCCCCAGCAGCAGCAGCAGCACTAGCACTCCCTCCTCCTCCTATAGAAACGAATGCCTGGGAAGGAGCGGGTTAGGCCTGCAAAAGGGGGTCGGTCTATGCGCGGCCAGGCCCGCCTTCTCTGGCCCAGGGAGCTGCTTCATGTCGGGGGGGGGGGGGGATGGCTTGGTACTGGTTTGCTTTCGCTCCAGACTTCTGGGACTGTTAAAGCGGCTGAACAGGAGAGATAGAGAAAAATGCATCTTGGTGTTCTCCGAGCAGGCCTAAGGCTAAGCAGGGACCTCCAAACACAAACGCCCTTATGTACTGGGGCAAACATGATCTTCTGAGGGATTTTTTTTTTTCTGCAGGAGCACCCACGCATCCACGGTGTGTTTGTTATTAGTGCCCTGCCCCATTCCACTAGCTGTGGGAGGAAACAAAAATATGAAATAAGTATATCCGAAAGAGAGTTACTTGAGATGGAGTAACAAATGCCTGATGCGCTTATGCAAAAATGTATAATATCCCAAAGCAGGTGGGTTGTTTGTTAAGAGAGCAGAAAATGTCACTCCCACTCACGGTGCTAAAATGCCGCAATGATGAATAAAATAATCACTATGTGCTAACCAAAATCTGATCCATCATCTGCCCTTCTCTAAAGATAGCTTTATATATATATACCCACGCCCACCATGAATCTCAAGACTATATTTTTGCATCTAATGATGCAAACCAGAAGTCTGAAATTTCTCAGGAGAATTGGAGATGATTGTAATACTATAAATGCTCATGAAATATGGGACAATTTTAAATGTATTTACTGTAGTTTCTTCTGTATTGTATTGTTCTGACGTTTTCTGTGTTTACTTCCATATGCTCGCTCATACTGTATTTGGAGGTGTGTTGCCCAACCCAGAAAGGTCACATTAAGTCTACAAGATTAACACTTGATAGATCTGCCCTCCATGAATTTATCCAATCCCCCTTTAAAGCCATCCAAGTTAGTGGCTTCACACTTCTTTCCAATTGAGACTTGTGGGAAAAAGTATCTTCTTCTATTAGTAGTTGTTAGTAGTCCTAGTTTTTAAATCTTATTTTAAATAAACTTAGGCATTATCAGATTTCAAACTCATAGAGGAAAGACAAGTAGTGTTAGAATTGCCACTAACAATTTATATAATCTTCTAGTTTTCCAATCATCAGCAAAATAACAATAAGGATGATAGGCTTTATATTGCATCACAGTAAAATACACTAAGTCACTAATAGACATCCTACTATCAATTTATTGTTTGGATTTCTTCTTTTTCTCTGTTAACAGTTGGAAGAAAAAGATGCCTAGCTAGAGTTAGATAAAAGTAAAGGCACAGCAATCTAGTTTTACAAGCATTTAGTAATTGTGTATGTTTATAGTAAATTAGGAAAAAATAAGAAATATTAGTTACAGAAATAAATTGTATTTCAAATGTTAAAAAAGTGAATCCGGATTCTAGGAAAGACATAATGATTTAGGAACTAGTACATGGTAAAGAAAAAGATATAGCTTCAAAAGGTGTGGAATATTTTTCTGTCTGCAGAAAAATGATCTATTTATATCAAACTTTGCTAATCTACCATATTAGTTCAATTAAAATATATATGTAAATTATTTTGTGCTACATAAATGCAATAGTGATAAGAAAGTTCATCTCACTGTTATCCTATTTTTAATGCAGATATAATCACATGCATATTATAAAACTTGCAGTATAATTCCATAATATACAGGTAGTCTTTGACTTACAATTATTTGTTTAGTGACCATTCAAAGTTACAACAACACTGAAAAAAGTGACCTGTGATTTTTTTCATACCACCATTGCAGCATCCCTATGGTCATGTGATCAGAATTTGGCCACTTGGCAAGAGGCATGTATTTATGACAGTTGCAGTGTCTCATGGTCATATGATCACCTTTTGTGACCTTCTGACAAGCAAAGTCAATGGAGAAGCCAGATTCATTTAACTAAGTTAACAATTGCAGGGATTCACTTGAAAACTGTGGCAAGAAAGTCATAAAATTCACAAGGTCTTGCTTAGCAACAGAAATTCAGGCTCAATTGTGGTCAGAAGTTGAGGACTACCTGTATACTGTTTCTGAGTCATTCTATGGAAACAGTCACATTCCTGGATTGTGACTACAGTATAGTGAATTGTTAGCTAACTTGCCATGGTAACTCGGCTATGTATTTTTCTGCCAAACAATGAAAACATTTATATTCTGTAACAGATCAGTTGTTCAGAGAAATGGGGGAGTTCTGTAACTTTATCCTTGAAGATATTGAAGGGTTCTGGAACAAAAGGAAATTGTTTAGTCTAAGTGTTGCTTTCTTGCTTTTTGTAATAATAATAATGATGATGATGATGATGTTGGAAGGGACCTTGGAGGTCATCTAGTCCAACCCCCTGCTCAGGCAGGAAACCTTATACCTAAGTTTTTCCTTAGTTCTAGGTTGTTTCTCTCCTTGATTAGTTTCCATCCGTTGCTTCTTGTCCTGCCTTCAGGCGCCTTGGAAATAGCTTGACTCCCTCTTCTTTGTGGCAGCCCCTGAGATATTGGTACACTGCTATCATGTCCCCTCTCGTCCTTCTCTTTGTTAAACTAGACATACCCAATTCCAGCAGCCTTTTTTTATATGCTTTAGCCTCCAGTCCCCTAATCATCTTTGTTGCTCTTCTCTGTACTCTTTCTAGAGTCTCAACATCTTTTTTACATCGTGGTGACCAAAACTGGATGCAGTATTCCAAGTGTGGCCTTACCAAGGCATTGTAGAATGGTATTAATACTTCACGTGATCTTGATTCTATCCCTCTGTTAATGCAGCCTAGCACTGTGTTGGCCTTTTTGGCAGCTGCAGAACACTGCTGGCTCATATTTAAGTGATTGTCCACTAGGACTCCAAGGTCCCTCTCACAGTTACTGCTATTGAGCAAGATACCCCCTATACCAGTGGTTCTCAACCTTTTTAATGCCGCCACCCCCAACCGGTTGTAAGTCGAGGACTACTCAACCGGTCGTAAGTCGAGGACTACTCAACTGGTGCAGCACCGTTTGCAAAATGGGACTTTTGGCAGGCTCAGCAGGGCAGAGACAGCCTGGACAATTCCTATTGGCTTTTGAAAGCCAATAGAATTAGACTCTATTCAAGAGAGTCAATTCTATTGGCTTTCAAAAGCCAATAGAATAAAAGGGAGTAGCACAGCTAAGGAAAAGGGGAAAAAAATGGCGGACTGCGTTGTTGGGCGACCCCCATGAAATGGTCATTCAACCCCAAATGGGGTCCCGACCCACAGGTTGAGAACCACTGCCTATACTACACCTATACATTTGGTTTTTCTTGCCTAAATGTAGAACCTTACTTTTTTCGCCATTGAATTTCATTTGTTAGATAGTGCCCAGTGTTCAAGTCTGTCCAGATCCTCCTGTATCCTAAGCCTGTCTTCTGGAGTGTTGGCTATTCCTTCCAGCTTGGTGTCATCTGCAAATTTGATGATTTCCCCATCTATCCCCTCGTCCAAATCGTTGATGAAGATGTTGAAGAGCACTGGGCCCAGAACAGAGCCCTGGGGCACCCCACTACACACTTCCCTCCATGTAGATGCGGTTCCATTGAGGACCACACGCTGAGTACTGCCAGTCAGCCAGCTACGGATCCATCTGGTGGCGATGCTGTCTAACCCGCATTTTTCTATCTTATCGAGTAGTAGATTGTGATCTACTTTATCAAATGCCTTACTGAAGTCCAAGTAAATTATATCCACAGTATTCCTCTGATCTACTAATTTTGTCACTTGGTCAAAGAATGCAATAAGATTTGTTTGGCACGATCTGTTTTTGACAAACCCATGTTGGCTCTTAGTAATGACTTTGTTGCCTCTAGGTGTTTGCTGATTCATTGTTTGATTATCTTTTCCAGAATCTTCCCAGGTATTGAGGTCAAGCTGATAGGTCTGTAATTTCCTGGGTCCATTTTTTTTCCTTTTTTGAAGATGGGAGCTACATTAGCTCTTTTCCTGTCCTCCAGTAATCAGCTTTTGCACCAGAGAAATTTCATGCAAGCTTGGAAAACATGTACATGGATGGGATATACTGAAGGAGGGAATAAGGGAATGTACAGGAATGATTGATGTCTTTCTTATGATGTAATGGCTCTGTTGTCTGATTTTCATCGGCTAACCAAGTTTATAAAGCAATGCTACCAATTTCCTAATGTGTGGCACTTCTGGACGTAACTCTGCCAGTGTTCCAGTGAGTGAGTGAGTGAGTGAGTGAGAGTTCTCCACCCCACCCCAGGCTGTGGAAGAAACAGTAAATTATAGATTTTGTTGTTATTGTTTTTGTGGATGAAGTAAATAAAAAAGTGTTTGGATGAGAATATGAAGAGAGAAATTTAAAAGGGGCCGAGGTCCCTGTGCAATTTTTCTAAAAATTTTGTTCAGCTTTCTTGTTATTGACTTGCTACATTTATTTTTGCTTTGCTTTGGAAGAGAGAGACGGAAAAAGGGGAAAGGAGGCGGCTTGGGGTTGATCATCTTAAAACTTTTTTTTCTCTCTGTTTAACTCTAGCCTGGAAGGTGGAAGGAAAAATTAAAGGAGGGGGCTGAAGTCTGAGATTGTAGGGGTTTTTTGCTTCTATTCTAACTTTGTTCAGGGACAAAGAACAAAGATAACTTGTTTAGTATGGCTTCTCCTTGTCGCAAATGTATCATTTGATTTGCCAACTGCAATTTGTGTTTAAAGCTTAGAAATGCAGAATCTGTAACATCCAGTTCCCCCAACTCCCCCTTCTCTGCTGAAGCTTTATTTCTGTTCAAAGTTTTTGGGCTTGTTGCCAACAATTGTGTATGTGCAAAATGAAAGTAATGTAACTGACCTAACCTGATAACGTAATCAGTACAACAAGCTCTCCCTTCTGTTAAAGCTAAATGTATTATAAAAGAAAGAACCTTAAGAAAATGATTCTGAATCGTTTTGCTCAGATTTGTAAATATTTTCAAAGTTTGATGCTCCAATTTCAGTCTTTGCATACACATATATGTATATTTTCAGTATATTAACTCAGAATACTTCATTAAGTTTTTTTTTCTTTTGTGAAGCTGCACTGAAAAATAATTTTTTTCTCTCTTTATAAATGTTGATTCTGGATAGAATTGCAGATAAAGGTTCAGCCTTATTGTTTATGGATAGACGGCTACAGCAAAGTTGATAAGAAAGAGATGTGGTGGATATTGGATGGGGAGAAGAGAATGTTAGGAGAGGCTGAGGGCCGGGGCTTTCCCTCCCTGTAGTTCTGGCTAAGAAGGAGACAAAACATGGATAGTTTTGGAAGTTGGAAAGAAAAATGAATAGTAAAAGGGAAACGGTTACATAAAGTTGAGAGAAGAGAGCGCACATGGGAGGCTGAAGGCAGGTACATAAAGGAAATGAATGTTGAAGAGGGGGAGGAGTTATGTGTCTTGTTTTTGGCTGATGTTGCAGATGGTACACAATGGCTGGACAGGTTGTGACATCTAGTGGTGAGGCCATTTCAATACAGGCTTCAACATTTATCTTGTCCTATTTGAAATGATGGATGGGAGTTGCATGAAGGTGTTCAAGAATGTCAATGAAGAAGAGAAAAATGTTACTCAGTATTTGTATAATCTGGTGCAGATTTTGTCTTCTATTCCATATAGGCTCAGGCTGCCCTACCACCTGTCTCTGACCATTGTTCCTGGAGAGCGGGTTCAGGTGAAAGAACTGTCTTCTATAAGTTCCAGTCTTGAGTGGTCCCAACTATGCCAAGCCTTCTTGACCTCAACTGCAGTGGGAGTTAAGGAATGAAAGCATGAGTCCATGGAAAGTCCCATCATTCCCTCTCCAGTGACAAACTCCGCAGCCTGAAAGTGAAATTTCAACCTGCTTCGCCTGTTGAACTATTTCGATCTACCTAGGAGAAAAGCTTCAATGGACTGGACTACCCCAGAACTTAGGTTCGTAATATCTAGATTATGTATTGCTACATTTTTGTTTGTTGCTGTTTCCCTCACACCTTTCTTCAGACCATGGGTCCAATACTTAAAGGAACAAAAAGGAGTTGTTACTTGCAAAGTGGGGGATAGGGTCATTTGCTATGCTCTTGTTAATACAGTAAAGCCCTACCAACAACTTCAAATCTGGACATATGGAGGGACACACAGACATTACCTTTTTTGAAAGAATAACACGAGACTTATGGACAATTGCCAGAGTCTCCTTTGATGTATGTTAAACCTATTGACTATAATCAAGCTAAATGGACTAAGTATGGAGACAGGCTTACTCATTTAATACAAACAACATCCTACCCAATCTGGCGCAATCAAAGGAAAATTTAATATGATTAAAGGAGTTAGCACTTCTCAGTGCAATGCTGATTCCTGCAACCTGGTGTGCTTTGAGATAACCAGACCAGCAGACTTCTCAGCATGATTTGGACCAGCTATCGATTAAACCAGACACAATTATGGGTTCAACTTGACATTTTATACCACCGTCCCAAAAACATTTTTGGGTTTTTTTTTCTTTTTACGATGAACTGGAAACCACAATTGAAATGCTCTCAACATCAAATAATCTTTTTATTGATCTGGTCCAAAAGAATTGCTTCATCTCTGAATGTGACTGTTTTATGTGTGTGGGTACTAACATGGGTGAACAGTGGCCTTGGGAAGCACGTGAAATAAATTTTACTGCCCTGACTAGTCAAAATCTCACTGAGAAATAGACCCCACTTCCATAATGGGAAGCCTCTGTTTTAAAAAGAGAAGGTTCTGGAGGACTTCCTGCGGTGACGTTGAGGTGGTGCAGGGGGAAGAGGACAGTCTCCGTCCTCTAACTCTGATTTTTTCAAGTTTGGAGGTCCTTCGTAGTCTGGAGGACTATGTGCAAAAAGGGTGAAACCTTAGGGAGCAGTGAGGTGAGAGGCAGGCACCCACTACGACAGAGGAAAACCCTTAAATCCAACTTGAAAACCTGCTTTCAACTGATGGCAGATCCGAGGCCTCGGCTAACCACAAAGGATATGGAAGCAAGATATTCTTAATGGACTATGTCATAGAGTGAGTTAAAAGTTTATAAAAATATTCCAAAATATTAGAAAGGTCTAAAAGATTTACCTATCTATTAGTTCTGGTGTTGTAAAGAAGCTCAATAAAAGAGGGAATCTTCAGCATAAGCGGCGACCTGGCGGGAAGAGCTGTGATTTAACATTAAAATAGTTAGAGGATTAACAGGAGTGAGATAAAAGAAAGAAAAGATTGGGGTGCTCTAGCACAGAACAAAGAAGGTGAAAGAGTGTGGAAGGAGATGTCAAGCCCCATGGGGCTTGCCATTCACTGGTGGGGGGGGTGACTCAGGACACAGCTTGTAGCTGCTGAACGCCAGACGCTGCCCTGACTCCAGCTGGTCGTTGGCACCATTCCAGCCACTGGAATAGCCCTGCAGGACACCAGGTACGGCCCTTTTCCTTCCCCTTCATTCCCGCTTTGGCGGCCTACCGTTCCTGAGCCGGAGGGGCCTGGCCGGTGGCCGGGCACTGCCTGCCACCTGCCAGCACAGCTGAGTGCCGGGGGTGGCCGGGCGCCACTGAGCCCTACCGGCGGTTGGAGGAGCCCACAGCCGTCGACAGAGCTGCCAAGTTGTGGGGGGCACCTGTTAGCCGCCAAGCCTCAAAGGATGCCGCCATTGGTTGCTGGAAGCCGCAAGAGACCTTCGGAGCCCGTGGACGTCAACAGAGTAGCCAAGCAAGGAGGCCAGCCACTGTTTGTTGCTGAGAGCCACGGGAGGCCTCTGGTGGCCGGAGGAAGGGCCTGTTTCTGGAAGCTCTGCATGCTCAGTTTGAGGACGCATCACATCTCCAGCGGGCTGAAGCAGAAGTTCTGTTGCTGAAGCAGCGAGGTCGGCCTGTGGAGGCTAGTGGGGCGGCTGTGCTCTTCTTGGCCGGAACGGTTGTTGGTCCATCATTTCCGGGCGGGCCTCGACCAAGGGCTACACCAGGCCTGTGTCTACAGAGGTGTGCCAAACCGGCTTCGGGAGTAGTTCAGAGTGGTGGTGGACCTGGATACAGGGCTCAGGGAATTCCATATAGGGGGAGGGGACACTGCTCGTCCGTGATGGCCTCCATGGAGGCCACGGGAGGGTGGACAGGGCCAGCTGGCCGGCTTGCCAAGGCTCCTGGCCCGCCTGACGGGGCCTCCTTCCGCTGCTTCCGGTGTAACCAGTTAGGCCATCGGGCAGCCGAATGTCCAGCCCCTAGTCCACAGAGCCCCACGGTAACCGGAGGGACTACCCCAATGCTGAAAAGCCCAGAGAAGTCGAGAGCGGCGAAACAGCTGGCAACTCCGACGTTCCAGCGGGCGCCTCCAGTGGACGAGGATGCCACAGTGGTGGCAAGGTATCGGCTGGCTGCTGACGACAGTGAGGATGACGCAGTGGACACCCTGATGGTGAGTGAGCCAATAAGCCCCTTTATTTTACCTATAACATTAACCAGTCCACAAACCGGGGTGCGGAGGGAATGTCGAGCCCTTATAGACATCGGGTGTACTCGGTGTTTAATAAGCAGAGCAGTAGCAATAGAGAGTGGCGTCAGGCTGCAATGGTTGGCTCACCCTGTCTGCTTTGAGCAAGTGGACGGGTCCCTGTTGGGGGGGGCAGCCACCCACATCACAGAACCGGTCCACCTGGATCTGGGGGTGCATTGGGAGGTCCTCCGCTTTATTGTTGCTCCATCTACGACAGAGGCGGTGATCCTGGGCCTGGCTGGTTGGAGAAATGGGGCCTTACCATATGGTGGGAGGGTGGTTATCGTAGGTTATGCCTTGGGGTTAAACCCCAACCACCTGGCCCGAGCCCCAAGAAGCAAGTCCCGGAGTCCAGTTACAAGGAGAGGGGGGAAGGACCCTTTCCCAGCTGTGTATAGCGACCTGGCCGACGTGTTTAGTGAGAGGGAGTGTAACCAGTTGCCACCCCACCGTTCGACAGATTGTGCGATTGAGCTCATACCGGGGGCCAAACTACCGAAGCCCCGGATGTATGCCATGGCGCCCAAGGAACTTTAGGAATTACAGCGGTATATTGATCAGAATATGGCAAGGGGTTTATCCAACCAGCCCGTTCCCGGATCGCTGCCCCAGTCCTATTTAAGGAAAAAAAGGATGGATTGCTTCGCTTATGTGTAGACGTCCGGGGCCTCAATGCAGTCTGTGTCGAACACCTGTACCCCCTCCCACTTATGAATGATCTGCTGGCCCAGTTGGGCAAGGGGCGGGTGTTCACCAAACTATATTTTCGGGAGGCGTACTACAGGGTACGAATACGGCATGGAGACAAGTGGAAGACAGCATTCAACTGTCCACTAGGCAGTTTCCAGTTCCAAGTAATGCCTTTCGGTCTACAAGGAGCCCCAGCAGTGTTCATGCAATTGATCAATCAGGTGTTGCATGAGCATCTCTACCATGGGATCCTGGTTTATCTCAATGACGTTCTCATTTACACCGCCACCCTAGAGAAGCACGTCTGCCTAGTATGGCAGGTGTTACATAAACTCCTCGACGCCAATCTGTACGTGAAACTATCGAAATACGAATTCCACCGGGGCAGCCTGGACTACTTGGGATATTGGATTTCAGGGGACGGTGTGGAAATGGATCCTCACAAGGTGAAGGCAGTGTTGGAATGGCAGGCCCCAGGACGCGTCGTCAGTTGCAAAGCTTCCTAAGGTTCGCCAATTTCTACCAGCAGTTTATTCCCTCCTTTGCCCTTGTGGCCCATCCCTTGACTGAGTTGTTACGGACAAGCACCTGACCAGCAAACCATGGCTTGGCCAACCGTTGGGTTGGACCATGGCCTGCCAGAGGGCATTCGAGGACCTGAAAGCCCTCTTTGCCAAAGAACCGTGTTACTCCACCCAAACCCCGATGCCCCCTTTGTGATGCAAGCTGACGCCAATGATGTGGCCGTTGGAGCAGTGCTCCTCCAACAGAACGGCCAGGGGCATTACAACCCTGTGCCTACATGTCCCGCAAGTTCACCGTAACTGAAAGGGGGTGGGCTATTTGAAAAAAGGAGATGTTCGCCATACAATGGACGCTTGCAATGTGGAGGCATCTGCCGGAAGGAGCCGCAGTGCCATTCGAGGTATGGATGGACCATAAGAATCTCGAGGCATTGCAAACCCCACGACGCCTGTTGCCCAAACACGTCAGCTGGGCTCAGTACTTTGGCCATTTTCGGTTCACCCTAAAATATGTGCCAGGGGGCAGGAACTTTCTCGCAGACGCACTGTCACGCATGCCGTAGTACCACAGTAAGAGGGAGGAGGTAGTGCAGGCGATCATGCTTCCCTATAGTCAAGGGATAGCCCGAATAGCCCCATGTACAGCGGCAAGTGGCACGCTCCTGGAGCTACAGGCGGCCATATTAGGTGACGCATGGCTGTGTGACCATCAAGGACTGTTAACATGGTGGGAAGGGGTGGCCTGGAAAAGTGACAAGCTATATGTTCCTGAAACTCTATGGCGCACCGTTCTCCAGCGGTGCCACAACACCAAGCAGGCCAGACATTTCGGATTTTTGAAGATGTTGCACCTAGTGTGGCGTCAGTTCTGGTGGCCTCAGTTGAAAACAGACATGGAGGCGTACGTAAAAGACAGCCACATCTATGCCACTGCAAAATCCTGTGTGGGAAAGCCGAAGGGATTGTTGCAGAAGGTGGCTGACCCAACCCGACCATTGGAGGAGATCGCCATGAACTTCGTGATTGAGTTGCCAGGAAGCCGTGGTTACACCATGATTTGGACGGTCATCGATCTCTTCTCCAAAGAAGCCCACTTTGTCCCTGAAAAGGGTTGCCTTTGGCCCGACGACTGGCTAGGCTTTTTGTTCAGCACGTCTACCATCTCCATGAAGTGTCCCGACAAGTCATTTCAGATCGGGGGTGCAGTTTACAGTGCACTTTTGGCATGACTTCCTCTATCTGGTAGGGTCGTCCCAGGACCTCAGCTCCGCGTACCACCCCAGCACCAGTGGGGTGATGGAATGTGCAAACGCTATGGTAGAGCGTTATCTCCGCAGTTACGTCACGTACCAGCAAACAGACTGGGTGGATCTCTTACCATTTGCTGAAGTGGCGTACAACAACACAGTGCACAGCAGCACAGGGTTTGCCCCGTTCCGGGTGGTGCACGGGGTGGAGTTTGTTCCCATCCCTGAGTGGCCTCAGGGAACGAGCATGCCACATACCCCCCAGACGTGGATGACACAGGTAGCAAGGTTGTGGGGAAAAGTGAAGGATGCCCTGATACAGGCCGAAGTGGCGGTAAAAGCACAGGCCAACAAAAAGAGAGCTGACCATAGGCCCTTCCGGGTGGGCGACTGGGCGTACCTATCAACAAAATACCTCCGGCTGAAGGTGCCTAGCAAGAAGCTAGGCCCCAAATATATATAGGCCCGTTCCAGATAATCCAGGTGGTCAACCCAGTGACCATATGGTTACGGTTACCCCCATTTCTGGGGAAAATTCACCCTGTGTTTCACGGGAGTCTGCTAAATCTAGTATATGGGACCCCTCCCATATCCAACGCACTGGGGCCAGTCGTAGGGTCACAGTATGAAGTACAAGAAGTACTCGATTCCCGGACCCACCACGGACAGGTGCAATATCTTCTTCAGTGGAAAGGCTACCCCCTCTCAGAGGCATCATGGGTTAGGGAGAAGGACGTGCATGCTCCCCGGCTGGTACGAGCGTTCCACCATAGGTATCCAGGAAAGCCAGGTAATGACAGCTGTAGTACCGTGTGTTCACCCACATCCTTCTATCTTCCAGGAGGAGCCGTGGTAGAGGGGGCCGCATGTCAAGCCCCATGGGACTTGTCATTCACTGGTGGGGGGTGACTCAGGACACAGCTTGCAGCTGCCAAACGCTTCCCTGATGCTGGATGCTGCCCTGACTCCAGCTGGTCATTGGCACCATCCCAGCCACTGGAATAGCCCCACAGGATACCAGGTACGTCCCTTTTCCTTCCCTCCGTTCCCGCTTTGGCGGCCTACCATTCCTCTGCCAGTGCAGCCGAGCGCTGGGGGGGTGACCGGGCGCCGCTGGGCCTTACTTGCACCTCGTACCTGCGTTCCTTGATTCTGTTCTTCTGGACGACGACGGGCGGGCGTGATAGAGAGGTTGGGAGATGAAAGATGGAGACGGAGACTGTGAGAAGACGATCGGCAAGTTGACGGTGAAAATGGCGATCTGAGAAGGACAGAAGAGTAGTGAGCTGTAGAAGATTGCAGAAAGTGAGGTTGGAGGAGAAAGAAGGAAAGAAACAGCAAGAGGACGTGCTGCGGTGGTGACAGTGAAAGTGAGAAGAACGCTTAGAAGGAGAGAAGATCAATAGAGAGGCTGCGTGCCAAACGTAGAGAAGCAGTATTTTGGAGAGGATTGGAGGCTGGTGAAGTCGGAGCAGAGAGGAGGGGAAGGTCCGAAAAGTGAAGGAATTGGCATGAGGACGCAATACAGAGGTGAACGTGATGGGAATAGATCAAAATTTGAACTTTAGGGAGATCGGAGAAATGGCACGTTATAAGGATCAAAGAAATCGAGGTTGGAAGAGAACGGAGGAGGTGAACCAGGAAGTAAGGAGAGTTTGGAAAGTGAAGGAGATGGTGAGAGGACGTGATTGGGCGGTGAGAGACAGGAACGGATGCATGGACTAATGGACTAAAGGTTGATGATATAAGTTGGGTGGAAAAATTTTTGGGGAGTTTTAGAGAGATTGGGTGTTAAATAATAAAAAGAAAATGAGGATTAGGGAAGGAGAAGAAAGGACTAAAGTTAGAAAGGTTGCTGACTAAACAAAGTGTTATAAAGAATAAAAAAGTATTGGATAAATAAGATATTAAGATGGCAACACTGAGAATGGTGAAAAAAGCAATGTCAAGCTTAGTATTGACACCTTCATCTCCCCCTGGAAAGAGAACAATAGAGGGAATGTTGGGGGCAGAGAAGCAAAATGTACTATTAAATATGCAAAGCATGCAGACAACACTATTAACTATTCAAGAAACAATGTTAAAGATGCAGGAGACAATGTCAAAAAATCATATTGAAATGAGAGGGGATATGAATAAATTAGATAATAAGATTGAAACAATACAACAAACAATTGAAAAAAATGAGGAAAGAATATTGACAGTAGAGGTAGGATTGGATAAAATAGGGAAAAAAGTCGACACAGTAGATAAAAAATTGATGGAAACTAATAAAAAATTGGAAGAATCGATTACACATCTGGAGATGGATAGGGTGGCATTTTATTTAAGGTTTCAAAACATTATGGGGGATAAGGAAGAAGATTTGGGCACCATTATGGTAGAGCTGATAGCAGAGGCTTTACAAAGAGATAAACAAGAATATTGCCAGAAATAGATGAGGTGTACCGAATCCACACAA